TTTAGCAAGATTTTCACATAGCATCTGGCCCTCCGTCCAGAATAACCAGATACTGAATGAAAAATAACCAAGGGCTCAAGGATACAAGACAAATGTGATACAGAGTGAGATAGCCGTGGGGATCCAGATAATGCAGTTAGCAGACACCTCCTTGGAGGAAATCTGTCAGGGCAGGGGTGGGAGGCTGGATGAGCTGGGACCCCTGCCCAGAGAGCTGGGGAGAGTGGCAGACCGGCAGAGCCAGGCTCGGGTATGAGCAGAGAGGAAAGGGGATTGTGATCCACTGGCTAAAATAAAGATCTGACAGCACATGAATGAATGTAAATAAAGGCGGGTGGAAGGGAAGTCTTTTGTACAGCAGAGAGCCGACTAACAAAACACCCCAAATAATGGAGTTAGAGAATCATCAGGTATTAATGGAGTCTGTATGTAATTTCAAAGTATATCTCCACAGATTGCTAATTACAAAGGGAAAATAGTAAGATTAGAGTGCACTTGGCTTGCTTCCAGTGTGACCAACCCATGTGACATTTTTCCTGATATGTCACAGCATCCCTTCTGTGGTGAATCTCACTGCGAGCAAACAGTGAGATGTGCTACAGCATACCTAGCCTAGACTCACGAATGTCACAGGAAGGATGAATACTGAGGGGCCACCCCAGTTGAAGGACACAGGGATGGCACAGTTGACATGTGGTGATGGCCTGGGCTCAAAAGGCCAGTGCTGGGACAGTGGGGAAGTCTGAGTGAGGCCTTGGGGTCATGACTGGAATTGAAGCAGGGCCTCTGGGTTGCAGAGAAGGATTGTTTGATGCTGGGGGTGGGAGGAGCTGTCAGCCGGCGCCACAGGGCAGATGGGCAGAGCCTATACCTTGTCAGCTTCCAAGGAGTAACATTTGCAAAGTGCCCGGGTTGACAGATGTTTCCGGAAGACCCTGCTTTCAATTCTTTCAGGTATACACCAAGTGGAATTGTGGGATCATGTGGTAATTCTGCTTTAATTTTTAGGAACTGGCACACTGTGTTCCACAGTGACTGTACCATTTTATTATATTGCCCCCAACAGTGTGCAGAAGAGCTCCATGGAAACAAAATATTACTCTCAACCCAGTGCAAATATCCTTCAAGAATGAAGAGGGTATGAAGACCATTTGAGACAGACAAGCACCAAGAAAGTTGTTACCAGCAGTTCCTTACTGGAGGAGATATTAAGTGTATTCTTTAAGCAGAAAGAAAATGCTCTGAGGTGAAAACTCCAGGTTCAGAAAGGAAAAGGCAAATAATTGGGTAACTCTAGGTGATTGTCAGTGCTGTGTTGTGGGGCGTCAGATGTATATAGAAGTAAAATACAGGATACTGGTGGCACCTCCACGTGGAGTAGGTGAAAGGAGGAAATTCTAACCTCGTGTTCCCTTGGAGGAGGTAAAGTGCAGTTAATTGGACTTTGACACATCAGGGGTGGTACCTGTTGGAGTCTTTGCAGGAACCTCTAAAAGAACAGTAAAAGGGTTGCTTTGTTAGGGGGAGTTGGTGGAAAATGAAAACTATTCCAAAAGAAGGCAAGAGAGAACAGAAGAGTGCAGAACACACATGACAGCTAGACGGCAAAGGATGATGTGGAGTCTCACCAGGTGTGATAGGGCCACGTGATCTAATGAAGAGAAGATTGTCAAACTGGATCTTAAAAAGGCTAGTTGCTTACAAAAACACATAAAAGTAAAAATATGTAGAAAAGTATATTCTGAAAAGATGGAAAACAAAAATCCTGCAAATAGCAACCACAGAAAGCAGGCAACTCAGAGGCAGGACGCTGGCCCAATAGGGCATCATTGTACGGGTCATCGAGGGTTTATTCTGAGCTTTGAAGGGGGTTTCCCACCAAGCACAACCTGGGAAGTTTGCTGTATTCGTGTGCCAGGCAGTGCAGGCCTGCGTCTGCACACACATTCCCTCTCTCCTCCTGTTCCGCCATCCTGTAGGGAGTGGTCCTGAGGGCCTATGTGACATTTCCTCTTACACAACATTGGCTGGAACTTTCTTTGCCTCATCGGCCTGCCATGAAGGCCCAGCATTGTCCTGCGCAGGACATGAGCACTACGGGTCTGCACCCCAAGGCGCCTCACTGTCTAGAGCCTTAGAAAGGTGACTTTTCTTGCCTCCTGTTCTCTTGTCTTCCTTTTCCCCTTTGTCATCTGAAGTTGAAGCTCCTTATGTCATAGTGGGATTTGCTCTGTACTGGAGGCTATAGAGAATTAAGAATCCCTGTTTTCCGTGCTTATTGCCTCAAAGATGGATCTTCCATACATACGAAAGACACCTCTGGGACCTTTGGAGGAGACAGACAGTCCCTGCCGAATTGAAGCCGGGGGCTTAGGCCTGCTTGGATGTGATTCTTGCCACAAGGGTTTTTCGCAAAGGCGAAGGTGGGCAGGTGTGGGGCCTGGAGCGTAGGGCCACTGTACTCGTCAGCATGGCCTGTGGGATCAGGCTTTTCTCCCATTATAGCTTTTCCTTGTTAACTTGAATTCTCTTTTTTTGTTTGAGCAAGTGGATGTTTATAGAAAGTTACCCAAGTTTAATTTCCTTAAATGTAACAGAAACTGTGAAAAGCAGTTTACCAGTTAGCATGTGCACTGAATTGCAGTACAGTGGTTGTTACGGTAATGATATGGGTGGTTTAAGTTTTTTAAGTACTAGAGGAATAACAGAGCTGTTTAGAAATAATAGTTCATGGTACTTAGTGCAAAGAATGTGACATAGCAGATGTAATCTAGATGAGACGTGACAACATAGGACCCAGGGACAGACTGTACGTGTCTCTGAAGATGTCCCCATCCCTTCCTTCAAGGCTTTGAATATGACACGTTCCCAAGAGCCTTCACAGCCCTGCTGCTGTCCTCATCTGACTGGACACCTCGGTGGCCTCCGAGGATGCCCTCAGGCTGCAGGGGGAGGTCAGAAGGATCGGTGATGCTGCACAGTGGCCAGCATCGGAGCATCGCCCCCTCTGTGGCCCGGAGACAGCGCTTGCTCCCTGAGCTGGCAGTAAGCCATCGCTGTGCCCCTGTCCACTGCTGGGCCCTCAGGGGCTGGGATCAGAGGAGCATGTGGCTGGCACTCTCTTTGCATCTGTGGCTTCAGGCCGGGAGTCGGGCAGCCGAGGCCTGTGGGGAGGTGGCCCTGCTTGGTGGGCCTCTTTTCCAGCTGCGCTGCCTGACCAGCCTGGCCCCACATGTCCTGTGATGGGCCTCAAGGCACTGAGGTGCCTAGTCCACCACCTTTTTCTGAGGTGTGTGTGTGGCACAAATCAGGGCTTCCAGAAGATTCTTTTCATCTGGCACTGGTGTCTACGAGGGGGTTCTCTTACCTTAAAAACACCCTGAGCCCCCCTCTTTCCACACCGAGGGATGAGGTGACTCGTCCGAGGTCCCCAGTAGTTGTCACAGGCTACTGTTGAGGGGTACCTGCGCTCAGGTGCTGTGGGCAGCAACACTCAGAGGTGAGGCTCGCTCTCGGGGGCTGTGACAGGCCTAGTGCACATTGCTGAGGTTGGACATGGGAACCCCCATCACATCTTAGCCTTCAGACAACCTCTGGGTCGTTTTCTACCTTGACCATGACCCATGCAGACCTGGTGGACATTGGGGTCCAAGGCATCCTGTGAAAGGGGCAGCTCTGATCCAGACTGCAGGGCGGGGGTTCCCCAGGTGGGCCTGGGGCTGACAAGACTGCAGCATCAGTGGGCAGAGCAAGGGCTGCGGGACAGCGAACAACAGGAGGGTGCGAGTGAGGGCAGTCGGTGTGTGGTGGAAATGCACACCTAAAATTCCCCAGAAAGAGGTGGAGTATTCAGCGCTGAGCGCTAATAGCTCGTGTTCATTTTGATGCAAGGGAGTGAAATAGATTTTACACACACATTTCAAGTAAAGATCTAAGTTAAAAAAAATTATTGAAACATTTGTAGAAAAATAGAAGAATGTTTTTACTCTTGGAATGAGGAAGGCCTGCCTTATGTGAGACACAAAAAAGTCTATAAAGAAAAAGGTGGGTAAATCTGATTTCATAGAAACAAAAAATTTTTGTATGACCAAAATCAATATCAAAAAGAAAAGTGAAAAGAACAAAAAGAAAGAAAAGTGACATTTAGGGAAGAAATATTTCTTGGATATATAACTGGAGATAATAGTAACAGTATTTAGAGACTTCTCTAAATCACTAAGGAACGCCTCAGCAGCCCAATAGAAAATGGACAGAAGGTATGTACAGATAAAGGAGAAGAGATGACGTGACACCAAAGCCACCAGCCCGAGCATCAATCAGAGAAGTACCGATGAGAACCAAGTGTCATTTTCTGGGTAATCACATGACAAGGGGCAGCGAATCCCACCAGGGAGTGAGGGTGGTCACTGCCCCTGGTAGGAGGTGACCAGAGGCAGTGGGGCAGCCTCTGTTAAAGCCACACATGCCTTCGCCTGCCGTCCCCCAAGTGCTGTCCTGTGGCAGTTCTCAGCCGTGGCACAAGAGTGAGTTCTGTGCAGGGGATTGTGAGCATCTGTCGTCAGGCTCTTGTGAGGGCCACACGAGGTAGTGGGCACCCGTGTTGCCTCCACAGCTCCTACCAACACTGGGAGGTTGGGTTTAGTTTGCAGCAAACAAGTCTGCAAGCTGTGCTCTGATTTCAGAGAGAAAACAGCAGGACAGCCATGTTCTGTGCCTCGTTATGTGTATGAAAATGCTAACCCACGTGTTGATGGGCGTGTTCACTTACTCGTTCGCTGAGATGCAGAGGACTGGTCTGGGAGATGCCATGGGCTTAACCAGGCCCTCTGGGCAGAGCAGCAGGAGGGAGGCAGGGTGGAGATGCCAGCCATTTCTGCTCTTTTTTCTGAATTCTTTGCATTCATAGTCCATATTATTAGGATAACCAGATGAATCTGAAAACATGATTAACGTGACAGCATATTGTTGGGCCACTGCTAACGTGCCCTCCTTCTTCACAGGTATGGATCCTGGCGGGAGCCTGTCAACCCCTACTATGTCAACTCTGGCTATGCTCTCGCCCCAGCCACCAGTGCCAATGACAGTGAGCAGCAGAGCCTGTCCAGTGATGCAGACAGCCTGTCCCTCACCGACAGCAGCGTGTAAGTGCCACCTGCCTGGGCTGAGCCTGGCGGGGGCTTTGCCTCCATGGGAACGGCCTGGTGGTCCTCCGCACAACTTAAGGTCAGAGCATCCGATGTACCTAGAAGGCGCAGTGCAGGAAGTGTTGTAAAAACCTGAGCATATACTGAGCTTCGCACTGGTTGCTTCTCTCAGAGGCTGAGGCAGCGGGAACCTTTGAAAGGGGCAAAGCCGAGGGCCGAAGCTGAGACACTTGGCAGACCTGCCCCGTTTGGAGTGCTTTGGTTCTGATTTGATTTGTGGTTCTCATCATTTGCGGGCCCTTTAAAGATGGCGACCCCACGGGGCAACTGCCTAGCTGGGCCCTGGTGACCCTGGCCCGTCCCTGAGAGGCCGAGTCGCTGTTCAGGTGTTCCTTGTCAGTACTGTCCTGTGCTTTCCCTTGTTAAAACGTAGGAACGGTCACGTCAGGGGAGCAGTACCTGTTACCTGCCCAGTGTAGGGGCCAGGAAGAGGGGAACACAAGGGGAAGTTGGTGCAGCTGGTTCTGTCCTGGCCCTGGTGCCCAGGTGACTCAGGGACCCTCCAGGGCTGCCTCAGTGTCCCTCAGTTATGCTCTCTGGGGTATCCCTCCCTCTGGGGAAGGTGCTTGTTTTCTGACACCTTTGCTTTGGCAGTGGCTTTTTGGGACCCACGTGCACATTAGAAGTTTGGGCTGCACTCTTGTGACATCCAGCCTGCAGAGGTCACTTGGAGTCTTGACTTGGCTGTCCGTGAATATCAGACTTGCCCAGCTTTTGGTCCATATGCCATTCACCATCTGACCACCACTGCTGAGAAGATTCTGGCCAGGGCTGGCACCCAGGGCTGGGGGCCGACTCCTGGGTGCCCTCCAGCCAAGTCAGGGCCAGGAGGAAGCCTTGGCAGTGACAGCGAGCAGGTGTGAGCCTTCCAGGGGCCATATGTAGGCACCGTTTCCTCACGAGCCTGGGGTATTGCTGGGACTCCCAGCAGTGGCTGTCAGCAGGTCCAGGGAACTTCGTCCCCACCTGGCTCTTTCTTAATGTGACAAGTTTGGAGAGTCAGCTCTGTTTCTGTGGATGCACGTGTTACATAGACTGTGCCCCCTTTTCTTTGCCTTCAAGCATTCCTCCTGAATTTCACTGCACAGAATAGGCCCTCGTGTGCTGTTGTTGGACTAAATCCAGCCGCCCTGCATCGTGTGGGTGTTGGCTCATGCTGTCTCCCTCCGATGACCACATGGGGGGACATCACGGCTCGGCTCTGTCCCTGCGGACTGGGCTTTGTGCATGATATTCTCACCGATCCTTTTTATTCCCCTGTGTGTTGAATCTTTTCAGATAAAATGTTGACATGTTTTTATCAACTTCTTATTTGAAATTCCTTGGGTTTCAGACAGTACCAACCGTAAATAAAAAGCATCATGTGAAAGGTAGCGAAAATTAATTTGCCCACATAACTTGCCTAATAAGTCTCCTAATTCTAGTCTCCAAGAAAAGGACATATGTGTTCTAAAGGGATCTAAAATTTTTAAAATACACTTCTGATATTCTATTCACCTTAATCTGAAACTCGGAAATGCAGGGATAGTCAAGAATTTGAAATCTAAAACTGTGACGGATATTTTAATGTACATCAAAGGCAAAAAGTAAGATTGTGCGTTCTCTCTGAATTACTTCTACTGGGGGCAGTTGCATTCAGTGTCTCAACCACATGACAAAATTGACAGTTTTATAGTCCGTTCACTTGGGACATAGATGTCTGAGTACAGTGCCTAATCTAGTGGCTTGGTAGTTTTTAAGTGTCTGGTCAAAGTGTATGAGACACAAATCAGTTGGTGGCCCAAGACACCTGAACAAAACCTTTAGGGCATGTAAAGACGCTTTAAATGCATTTGACTCACTTGTTCCTTGACTCCCGTCTGCATGAGCACTGCAGCACTCAGCTGTTACCCTGACAGCCACAGACCCCCAAGGCAATGACCGCCCCACTCTGCCCTGCTCTGAATCAAGGCACGCCCTTTCCGCCCAGACCAGCCTCTAAGGTGCGTGTTTTTAGGAGAATATTGCAGCCATGCCTGCCAATGAAACTGCTGAGCTGATGGGTGCCTGGGATGTGGGCCAGGACCACCAGCCATGTGCTAGGTGCTGGGGTGAGCTGGCAGCTTCTCTGAGCTGTCCAGCAGGTAATGAAGTGAGGTCAGGAGCTGTCGTGGCTGTGTTTGCATCCTGCTGTCGAGTAAGAGCCCTGCCGCTCTGGCTGTGCCCGCCCTGAGACCGCGCTCACCTCCCCTGGGGGCAGTGTTAGGGAAGGAGGTAAGGGATGAGGAACCACCCACACAGCTGTGCTCTGCCCCCTCTGGAGAAGAGGGGCAAGTCCCTAGGCATCCTGTTCCTGGGGGCCTCTTTGTGTCACTCTGGCTCCTGTTAGCAGCTGTGCTCCCAGAGTAGCTTTTAAATAACAGGGAGAGGACTGGAGAGTTTTTAGGGCTTGCATACGTGCAGTGAATTATGTGTTAAACGTGGCATCTATCTTGAGTGTGTATTCAGTTTTACTGAAGACAGTATATAACTAGACTTGCATGTTAAAAAATCTTTAGAAAGGTTTCATAACTAAAATTTATGTCAGGAAGACCAGTATGAGTATCCCTTGGAGAGATGACGCTGCTTTACCTATTTATCCCAGAATGAAAGCAGAATGGTAGAACCTTGAAGATATCTTACAGCTGAGTCTAGGTTGTCCTGGCCACCCACTGGACCATCCTTATCATTTCTGGTCTGTTTAGAGAACCGCTCCCGCCCCCCATGGGCACACCCTGTCCTTCCCAGGCCATAAAGTGCATTTTCAGTAGAGGACCAGTAGTAAATATTTTAGGCTTTTGTAGCCACAGAGTCGCTGCCATACATTCCTCCCCTGCTTTAAAAATGTAAAAACCGTTATTAGCTGTCAGGCTCTAGAAAAACGGCCCGTGCTGCCCCACTCCAGCGAGCCTGGTTTGTTGGGCTACTGCGTCTGCACTTACGCTGGGCTGCCTCTTTCTCCTCACAGGGATGGGGTCCCCCCGCACAGAGTCCGCAAGCAGCATCGCCGCGAGATGCAGGAGAGCGTCCAGGCCAACGGGCGGGGACCCCTACCACACATTCCTGTAAGTGCCTCTGCACAGCCCCCACTCCGTCTCCTAGGTTCCCCAGCCCCCCTGGATCCTGTGCCCACCCATTCTCCCAATGCTGCCTGGGCCATGTGAGACCAGCCAGGGGGCGGGAAGGCACTGGCCCGGCTTCCTGTGAACTCAGCTCACCTCTAAGCATAGCATGTGATCTCACACAGTGAGACTTTGCAGGCTGGAGGGGCAGCCCCTGTCCTGTGTCTTTCCAGTCCTATTAAGTTGTGGCTTCTCTTGGAGGTGAGGGAGCAGCCTGAGCCCCTGCACGGCAGCCTGACTGCAACTGTGTTGGAAAGCCTGGCACGCACTCCTGGTGCCCCAACCCCAAGTTACTGTGAGCACTGCTTTGTTGAAGATGGGAAGAGGCCTGGGTTTTCTGTGGCTGAACTGTGGAAGTCGCCATGTGGGTATCCTGACCTCAAAGCTGCTTCAGCCTCACCTCCTGGATAAAAATAATAAGATGATAGCGATTCTCCTGATTGTGGACTGGGGGGTGCTTCACAGAGCCCAGTGCAAAGCAGGGCCGGTCGCGGTCTTCCCCCACCTGCAAAGAGTTCCTTTTTTGGTGAACAGAGTAATTAGCTTCTCTTATTTTGATACATGACTTTGAATGGGAAGGACTTTTAGGAGAAGGTAGGAAAAGCTCACGGTAGGTTCTCCATCCAGCTGGTGCCTGCTCTGAGGGTACTGGTGCAGCTCACTTGGCGTTTCTGTGCCGAGGAAGGGGATGCTTCACAGGATCACCGCATGTACCCACCCACCCATAATTGGGATTCCTTGGTTACAGTCTGTTAGCATCTCTGCAGATACTTTGATTTCCAAAAGAGAAAAGTAATCACTTACATAGTTGAGAAGAAAGGATGTTGGTGTTCCTTATTTCTGAGAAAAGTGTGGTCAAGCATTTTGTTTTCTCCCAGCAACCCTTGGCACAGAGTCGGCTTAAACTAGGTAGTATTGGTGTCTGCTTAGGGAAAAGGGGGAGGTGCTGTGGGTAGTGTGTGTAATGTGTGGGTGTGCCTTCACGTGGGCATGCTGCAGGTGACCCCTCAGGGGGCTCAGTCTGACTCATGTTATCTACAGCAGTCTGGACCTGACCATGCAGGTGACCACATGTGTCTTCGCAGCTCTGCTCATGGATGTTTAAACTCAGGACTGGGACACAGCAGGGGAAGCAGAAGAGGGGCTTGGGCATCCTGTGTCCAGAAAGTGAGGGGATGGGGACATAGCTACTCGGAGGGGCACCCCTGGCCAAGACCCAGGCAAATGGATCATGAGCTGTGGCCGTGACGCTGGGGTCCGTGTGTGCCAGTGTGGGGAGGGGGTGGAGAGCTCAGTGAGGAGCAGGGTAGTTACATTGTTCCAACCAGCCCCTCATAAAATGCAAGGGGAAAGCAGCTTTGGGGGAAGAAGTGCAGGCCTCCTGAGTCAGTGGACGGGGCAGGTGAGGACTGGATGGGAGGAGGGCTTCTGTCAGCCGCCAGGACGCAGCCTGGGCTGAGGGCCGTCCTGCACAAGAACTGGCTCGTAATTTTCCAAAGTCGGGGGTTATAGAAGTCCAGGGGAGACTCGGAGGCCAGAGAGACAGCTCAGCCAGGCACATGGCAGGCTTCAGGGTGAGGCCTGAGCAGGGACAGCACAGAAAGCAGGCTGGCAGCGTGTGCTGTGGGGCCAGGAACTCTTGCGTCTGAAAGTCCTCAGTGTAGGAAGCACGTCAACACACTGCGGATGATGGGACCTCAGAGGTAGGCAGCTTACTCTCAAAAGATTCAGAGAAAAGTTCTTTGCATTGTTCTTGCAACTTTTCTGCAAGTTTGAAATTTTTTTCAAAATAAGCATATTTTAATTTAGTAAATTATGCACAGTATTAGACTAAACCTAAAGAAAAAATTGGTGAACTGGAGTATAGACCTTGAAAGACTTGGCACAGGTGAGAAGGAGGTGGTACAGATAGGAGAGGAGGGCAGGGAGAGGCAGGAGTCACAGGTGTCACTGGGAGAATGTTCCAGAATCGAGAAAAGCTGGGAGTCCTCAAGTTCTGGAGGTCACAGCTAACTCTCAGCAGGAAGACAGAGCCGAGAGAGGCATTGGCATGGTGACAACAGCCCAGCCTGGCTAGGTGGTGTGGGCAGTCCTGTGGCCTCGCAGGCTTCCTGTCCCGGTCTTGGCCGTTGCAGGTGGCTTGTGGGTTTGTGCTTATCTGCAGTGTGGGGAGCTTCTCAGTATCTATGGCCTGGCTGCTGTCTGTCTATCTGGTGGCTCAGGAGACGGGCCTCTTAGTGTCTTCTGGGGTGGAGCATGGTTGGGCAGGACTTGGACAGGGTGTGCCGCCACCTGGAGCAGAAGCTTTGCGGGGTGCAGAGGTGCGGCCGGCATCCAAGCAGGCAGGACTGGATGGCAGCCTTGAACTCAGGCTAGCCGTGTGTTTGGGGCAGAAAGTTTTGTTCACTTCTGTGAACAGCATTTTGTTCAGTGATGGTGACTTGAAGTTCAAAGTGAAGAGATGTCACACTTCATTCATCAAGTATGCCTCACGGGCCCCTGTGATAGTAAGTATGGGGACCTGACTAACGCGGATTGGAGGCCAGGGCTCGAAGACCCGTAGATTGTTGATTGCCAGAGAACTGTGTATGCCAGGCCCCAGAGGGAAGGACACACGTGGTCTCTCTCACCAGAAACCGACTCCTCTTGACTGGGCCAGTGAGAACTGTCTCCACCGTGGGCCCTTGGGTTTCTCTAGCAGGATTTGTTCAGAGCAGCCTCCCCAGGGCTGCCTCCTCTCCGAGATAAGGCCCTCCTCTTTATGGGACTTGCTTATGATTTTGCTGTAACTTGCTTGTCCCAAATTGCCATCTCTGCTGTTCCCAAATACACCTGTTTTTGCTGGTGAGACAACTGAGTTTTATTTCTAAGGTTAATACTGCTTCTCTGACAAATGAGGAGACACCCTGGGGTCTTGGGTCCTGCGAGTGTAGGTCTGTGGCTGGTGACACCTGCACTGCCCCCCGAGCATGCACATGTTTGTTTTTTCAATGGACCAGACTTTGCGGGGCACAGGCAGGTCCATGAGGGCCCTCAGCAGACAGACCACTCATGTGGGGCTCCCAGGGCCGCCCCAGTCACCTTCACTGAGTTGGGCAGGGGTGGCTTTGGCTGCCCTTGGGAGTCTGTGTTGTTCAAGAAATGCCCTTTCTAAACGGGTCTGCTTCTCAGCAGTGCTCACTGACAACTTCTTGGAGACTTAAGAGGCAGGCAGAGGGGGCATGTGTGCCTGACTGTGCTGTGGCACAGACCCCTACACGTGGTGGGTGCCAGTGACTGTCTGGGCATGGGGTGTCTGGTCTGAATCCTTAGGTATGAATACTCCAGAACCTTAGGGAAGGGCCTTGTCTCTTCTTTTGAATATTTTGTTATCATTAATCTACAATTACATGAAGAACATTATGTTTAGTAGGGTCCCCCCTTCCCCAAGTCCCCACCCACAAACCCCATTACAGTCACTGTCCATCAGCGTAGTAAGATGTTGTAGAATCACTACTTGTCTTCTCTGTGTTGCACAGCCCTCCCCATGTGCACCCCCATATTATACATGCTAATCATAGTACCCCCTTTCTTTTTTCCCGCTTTCTCCCTCCCTTCCCACCCATCCTCCCCAGTCCCTTTCCCTTTGGTAACTGTTAGTCCATTCTTGGGTTCTGTGATTCTGCTGCTGTTTTGTTCCTTCAGTTTTTCTTTGTTCTTATACTCCACATATGAGTGAAATCATTTGGTACTTGTCTTTCTCCGCCTGGCTTATTTCACTGAGCATAATACCCTCCAGCTCCATCCATGTTGTTGCAAATGGTAGGATTTGTTTTCTTCTTATGGCTGAATAATATTCCATTGTGTATATGTACCACATCTTCTTTATCCATTCATCTACTGATGGACACTTAGGTTGCTTCCATTTCTTGGCTATTGTAAATAGTGCTGCGATAAACATAGGGGTGCATCTGTCTTTCTCAAACTGGGCTGCTGCATTCTTAGGGTAAATTCCTAGAAGTGGAATTCCTGGGTCAAATGGTATTTCTATTTTGAGCTTTTTGAGGAACCTCCATACTGCTTTCCACAATGGNCCAACATTTGTTGTTGTTTGTCTTTTCGATGGTGGCCATCCTTACTGGTGTGAGGTGATAGCTCATTGTGGTTTTAATTTGCATTTCTCTGATGACAAGTGATGTGGAGCATCTTTTCATGTGTCTGTTGGCCATCTGAATTTCTTCTTTGGAGAAGTGTCTGTTCAGCTCCTCTGCCCATTTTTTAATTGGATTATTTGCTTTTTGTTTGTTGAGGTGTGTGAGCTCTTTATATATTTTGGATGTCAACCCTTTATCGGATCTGTCATTTATGAATATATTCTCCCATACTGTAGGATGCCTTTTTGTTCTATTGATGGTGTCCTTTGCTGTACAGAAGCTTTTCATCTTGTTATAGTCCCATCTCTTCACTTTTGCTTCTGTTTCCCTTGCCCGGGGAGATATGTTCATGAAGAAGTTGCTCATGTTTATGTCCAAGAGATTTTTGCCTATGTTTTTTTCTAAGAGTTTTATGGCTTCATGACTTAAGTTCAGGTCTTTGATCCATTTCGAATTTACTCTTGTGTACGGGGTCAGACAGTGATCCAGTTTCATTCTCTTACATGTAGCTGTCCAGCTTTGCCAGCACCAGCTGTTGAAGAGACTGTCATTTCTCCATTGTATGTCCATGGCCCCTTTATCGAATATTAGTTGACCATATATGTTTGGGTTAATGTCTGGAGTCTCTAATCTGTTCCACTGGTCTGTGGCTCTGTTCTTGTGCCAGTACCAAACTGTCTTGATTACTGTGGCTTTGTAGTAGAGCTTGAAGTTGGGGAGCGAGATCCCCCCCGCTTTATTCTTCCTTCTCAGGATTGCTTTGGCTGTTCGGGGTCTTTGGTGGTTCCATATGAATTTTTTAACTATTTGTTCCAGTTTGTTGAAGAATGCTGTTGGTAATTTGATAGGGATTGCATCAAATCTGTATATTGCTTTGGGCAGGATGGCCATTTTGACGATATTAATTCTTAACCAGGAGCATGGGATGAGTTTCCATTTGTTAGTGTCCTCTTTATTTTCTCTTAAGCATGTCTTGCAGTTTTCAGGGTATAGGTCTTTCTCTTTTTAATTCCTCAGATGTTTCACATTTTTATTTACTTGAATTTTTTACCTTGTGATTTTTTTATTCCTCCGCAGCTGGAAAGGTTACCATTCTTCTGATGTAGCTTTCAGAGGTTTTCCTGTTTTCAGAAGCCTGAGGGCACAGCCCCAAGGCTCATTTCCAGAACGGACTAGCTGGTGGGTGTGCATCCTGCCTCAGGGCTGAGGGCTTGCTGGGAGTGCAGCGTGGCCCTGTGTCCTCCAAGGCGTCTCTCTGCCCTTGCTGTGTGCACTGTCAGCTGGTCGGAACTGCGAGCTCTTGCCATCTGGACATCGGTCATCAGCTGTCAGTCCTGCTGTGTCATAGCTCTTTGTGCTGTACTGCTCCCAGAGAAGCCAGCACTCTCTGCCCCGGCCTCTTTGGCTAGCAGGCTTGGTGGGGCAGGGCCAGTCTCAGGTCCTGTGTTGTCTGACCCCTCCTGCCAAGACTGTCCAGGGCTCGGCCTCGTGGCCCTTCAGACAGCCTGGTCCACTGCGGCTTGCCGTTCACACCTGCATTCTCTCCAGGGCTTTTATCTCAGGATCTTCTAGACACACTGGCCACCCCTATTGCCCCTTCTTGGGTCTGGGCTCCTCTGCTGCAGGACAAACCCCTTCTGGCACTGGGCACTGCCCGGCTTTCTGCACTCCACCCATGAAGCATTAGCCTCTATCTTGGGCTTATCCTTGGCCCCCTCCCCTCTCCAGACCCTCAGCAGTTTCTTAGGCCACTTCTGAGCCCTTCGTGGTCAGCATGAGCCCTACACATGGACATTTGTCTCTGAGATCTTTACATCGTTTTCTTACCTAATCTTACATGTTTCTGAGGTATTAGGCATGTTTTTAATCCTGTTTTGTAGATGAGAAACAGGTAGAGTCAAGACTGTGCACAGAGACTAGAATGGGAGGGTGGCCAGGTTCCCGCCCCCACATCTGTAGTCTGGGGTTCTAGATAGCCACTCTCTACTCACAGAGGTCATAGAGGACCCCTGTGTGCCATCCTGTCCCTGGGCCACCATCTGCCCTCCTGCCCCATCTAGTGCCCCTCCAGACCCCTCCCTCCTCAGCAGCCCTCTCCTGGGTCTCCCCACCTCATGGAAGCTCTCCAGCTGCTCCCATCCCTTCCTCTATTAGACTCTTGGTGACTTAGATTTTAAAAGCGTGTTTTGCTATAAAGGATTATTGAGACAGCTGGTGAAATCTGAGTAAGATCTACTCATTTGTTGTATAACAGTGTTGTATCAGCGTTTTTTCTTTTGTGACTGTCCTGTGCTCACGCACAAACATTTTGATTGCACTCTGAAGGGTTCAGGAGCAAGCAGGTGCCATGTGTGTGGTTATCTACTGGCACAGAAGGACGTGTGTGTCTGCGTGTGCATGTGTGCTTTGGTGTAGGACACAGTAAGTGTGGCAGATGTCAGCAGCTGGGCTATCGGGGTGAAGAGTTCTTTGTGTTACTCTTATAACTCTCTTGAATTTGACATTACTTCAGAAAAAAAGCCACCACCCCTGCACCTGAAGAAAAGTTACAGTGTGTAATACTATAAAGCATATTCCAGAATTACATTCTCTGAAAAGGAAAGTCCTCTCCAACCTGCCTTTCCTCTGATTTTTTCCTATACCCTGAATTTTGTGTCCCTGCCACAGAGCCCGGAATCCAAAGCCTTGGCCATGCACGACTAAGTGCCAGGGGCTGCTGCCCCCGCATCTGTGGGGCAGGCAGCACAGGGTGCAGTTGGCCTTCCCCTGCTTTCTGGGCTTTGCAGCTCTCCCTGCCCCGATGCCTTGGCCAGAACCCAGGCCTCCCTTGCTGGGGCTTGGCCTGGCCTAGAGTGTCAGAAGCACTTCTCCAGGATGGCTGGGAGGCCCTTAGTGCTGGGCACACCTGGGCTCGGGGTGCAAGAGCCTCCCCTCACCAGAGCCCTGCTGGCCACTGCCCTGGTGACCCGGCCAGGGAAGGAGCCTGAGTCTCTGCTGCTCACTGTCCCAGAGTCTGCAGCCTCGAGGGCCAGGAGCAGTGCCTGGGCTGCGTTCCCACTCCTGGCTCGTGCTGGTGAAAGGAGCTGCAGTCTGATGAGAAAAGGGGCAGCAGGGAAGCTGATTCCCAGGAGGAAGGGGCCAGTGAATACTCACTCTAGGATGAAACACAGATGAGAAATAGGCTTATAAACACAGACTGGTTGCCGGAGGTGCGGGGTGGGGGTTGGAGGAGTAGGTGAAGGGGGTAAGAGGCACAAACTTCCAGAAGGTGAGTAAATTAGCATGCAGATGAAAGCCCATCATGGGGATGCAGTAGGTAGTGTTGTAAGATCTCTGTATTGGCACATGGTAACTGTACTTGCTGTGGTGAGCATTTCCTAGTATACAGAACTGTCCATCACTCTTACACACCTGAAACCAACATACTACAATATATCAACTGTATTTGCATTTTTCAAAAGGTAAGACACAGAGCTCATGTTCTTTCCTCTCACCCAAGAAGGAGTGCACTCCGCACCTCCGTGCTGTGGGTGGCAGCCCGAAACTGCGTGCGGCCGGCTAATCAGCCCTGTCCTCTTGCAGCGCACTTACCGAATGCCGAAGGAAATTCGCGTGGAGCCCCAGAAGTTTGCCGCGGAGCTCATCCACCGCCTGGAGGCCATCCAGCGGACACGAGAGGCCGAGGAGAAGCTGGAAGAACGGCTGAGACGCGTCCGGATGGTGAGTGGGCCGCACATATCAAGGTACCAGTCATCTTACCCCTGTGGCTGAGCCCAGGGCAGCTCCTGGCCTCGAGGAGCTCCCTCCAGGGTCTCCCAGAGGATTGGCTGCTGTGTGACACGCCCGGGACACTGCCATAAGGGGCAGGTGTGGTGGGGCAACAGGTGGGCACACCTGCCAGTCTCCTTTCCTGCCCCGCCTGGCATCACCCCTGCGGCTGCAGTCCCGGTTCCAGACTCCCTTATGCGCACCCAGCTTTGAAATACAGGGCCTGGCACCCCCCGCTCCCCTCTGTCAAGACAGCAGGCAGATTTCAAATAACGGGTCGGAACCTGGGATTCCTGGTGGGACCAAGGAGGCAGGTGTGGTCACTGAGAGAGTAATGGTGGATGGTGTGGCCTCCAGGAAGTTGTGGGCATGTTAGGCGTGTGCACACACACACTTTACTTTAGAGTATCCTCTTGTCCATCCCTCATGGGGGCTGGGTGACCCTCACTTGGGTGGAGAGGGGCCAGCTGGCAGGCTTCATGTGTGTCACCAGCTGCCCTGCCTGTGGTGCCAGGTCCCAGTGAGTGGGAGTCGACAGGCAGTGTTGGGTGGGCTGTCACCACAGCCAGCCCCTCTCTGGTCCATCAGATGCCTCAGTGATCGGACGGGCATGGGCAGGAGCTCAGGTCCAGCTTTCTGATAGCCTTCTCTGACAAAAAACATACTGGGAACAGAGTTGCAATGAAAGATAATTTTAGCTGACAAAGCCGGCCTCTGCATTTGTTCAGCACAGCACTTTGCAGGCATCCTTTCTGTGTGAGGGTTGCCTCTGGGCATGTCACAGTTAACAGCTCTTTTAAACATGCAGATGAAGTAATGTAATATTTTGTAGAAGACACGTAGGAAAGGAAGAGCCCACTGCCCTTTGCTAGAGAGTTGAACTACTGTAATTCTTCCCTCATGTATTTAATTGGCTCTGTGGCTGTGCAGTCCGGCAGGTCAGCGTTCTGGGTGGGCACTTGAAAGGCAGGTGTGACTAAACTGAAGGTACACAGGGTCCTCTCCTAATGTCTGAGTCATAGACTGTCTCGGTGACATCCCTGCAGGTCATTGCAGCTATGCCTGGAGCCGCCATGGGCTTTCAGAGGACCTGGGCCCATCTGCAGAGACCCACAGCACTCTTGACTTAGCAGAAAGCATTCAGATGACTAGCCCTGGTGTTTCTTGAGTTATCAGTTCAAGAGCTACTTGAGCACATGGCCTCCGCTACCACACAGCCTCTGGACATGGGTGCCCAGACTCAAGGTCACAGTCTCAGGCCCCAGCTGCTCAGCTGCTTTGCTCCCACACAGCAGTGTGCCCAGCCGCTGGCAGTGCAACTCAAGTCTGTCATTGTATGTGACTTGTGATCTATGTAAATCATGCTGTAAAGGAGTTCTTTTAAAGAGAAATAACTACATATTTTTTAATAATTTATTTTCACTGTAAAACTTAGGAAATAAAAATAGAAAAAAAATGACAGCTGTTAACAGTTGAGTAAATGTATAACATTTCAAAACCCTAGTATGGAATTCCTACATATACAGAGGTATTAAGAAAAAAAACCCTCAGCCCTGCATGCTTGCATGCATGCATGCGTGTGCATGTGTGTGTGTGTGTGTGTGTTTTCTCCCTTTTCTCCCAAGGGATGTGGCCACCCATTCTTCCTCACTGCTGCCTGGGGGCTCAATGCTGTCCACCCTCTCAGGGCCTGGAGGGGCCCTCAGCTCTGCAGAGCAAAGGGTCTGGACAGGGACCCAGGATGGGATGTGGGGGCTCAGGGTCCAAGTCTCTGTTGAGGCAGCTCCAAGCTGGGACACAGGCACATCCGTCCTCTGTTGTCTGTCCTCTTTGCTGCCTCTTTCTGCCTGAGTACTGATGGGGGTGCTGTCCGCCTGTCCTGGTGACACTTAGATACTTTTTCATTAGTGAGAAATTTTATGGTAAACTTCTGGAGTTTTGTATTAGTACAGGAATAATTTAGTCCCCATTCTTTACGGTTTGTACCAGGTTCTCTCTATATTATTATTTGGACAGTTTAGTAAGACAAAAAAATAGATGAGATGTGTCTTTTGGTGTTAAAGTGATCAAACGTTTATATTTAGATACGGCTACATTAACTCCTGGAGAATGAATGAAATTCAACTAGTTTAATATGAGAATTTATCGAGAAACATGTTGCAGGATAAATAAGCAAAAAACAAGAGCTGCACAAGGGCAAAATTATCTTTGAAAATGTAATGGAAAGTGGCAATAAAAGAGGAATAGGGAAACTCAACTGAAAAAAAAGAAATTCATTGAAACGAAAGCTAAGGGTTCTCGGTGCTCTGGACCCTCACTGCCGTTGCTCGTCCAGTCATCGGTGCAGGGCAGCCTCTTGCTCTGTCGCGTTCACGGGGCTGAGCACAGCCCTGCCATTGTCCTGCAGCACAGCCGGCCAGAGCCTGCCGCATGAGCTCGGGGAGCAGCAGGCACGGACAGGGCTCCAGGGGCAGCTCCTGAGTCAGGCAGTGTCCCGGCACCTCTCCTTGCCCTGCCTCATCCTGGGCTTATAGCTTCTCACCCCCTCCACCAGCACCACACCCCCACCCTCACTGGACATGGCACTGCCAGCCTTGTTTATTTGCCCAAGTGTGAGGTAAGAGTGGCCAGCAGAGAGGTGATATGTGGCCTTGTCCCCACAGGAGGAAGAAGGTGAGGATGGCGACTTATCCTCTGGCCCCCTGGGGGCCAGTCACAAGCTGCCTTCAGCCCAGGCCTGGCACCATTTTCCACCCCGCTACACAGACATGGGCTGCACAGGATTGCGGGATGCACATGAGGAGAACCCCGAGAGCATTCTGGACGAGCACGTGCAGCGGGTCATGAGGACACCAGGCTGCCAATCACCAGGGCCTGGCCACCGCTCCCCCGAGAGCATGCATGTGCCCAAGATATCGGGGGTATTGGGGGGTGCTGCCCCAGGGCACAGTAAGCATTTGCCCAAGTCAGGGGTGAAACTGGACGCGGCCGGCCTGCACCTCCACAGGCACAGCCACCACCACGGCCACCATGGCGTGGCCAGGCCTAAGGAGCAGGCTGAGACCGAAGCTGCCCGCCGGGTGCAGAATAGCCTCACTTGGGGCCTGGAGCCACATGGCCATACAGCCAAGCCCCGCAGCCACTCTGAGAATGTGGGCACTGCCCCCAATGCCAGCGACAGCCTGGCCTACAGGTGCGTGTCCCTCCTCTTTGAGGTGCAACAGCTCAGGTGCACTCTTGAGACTGGGCTGTGGTTTCTTTGTTGTGGGGAGCATGGGTCTTCCCGGGGTGAGACGGGTTGAGACCATGTGTCCTGTGGATTCTCTTCTGGTTTTCTAAACCAGAATTCCCCTTCAAAAGCCATTTAAACGAGGCCAGCCACAGAGACCATGGGCATATGGTGCCCAGGGTTTAGGCACTGTGTGGGGCACCAGGCCAGCCAGGTCTCGAGCCTTAAAATGTGGTTGTATAAAAACACGCCTGTTTCAAAGTGAGGTGTCTGGGCAAGGAGAAGTGGCCAGGCAGGTGACCTAAACCTGGAGGGCAAAGGACAGGTGCTCCAGCCCCCGAGCCCTGACACTGTCCTTCACTTTCCACTGTAGCTGGCCCAGAACAAACACGGGCAAGCCCACAGAGCAGGCAGAGGCCACACCCGCCTCATCCCTACGTCCAGGGGGCAGAGTCCCTCCTGGGCCTTCCCTCCAGCCCTGCAACCCAGGTGGCCCGCTTCCCAGCAGTGGGCCGGGTGAGCCAGCGGGTGACTCCTAGGTCTTGCTCTTGCAGTGGGAAGGCAGGCACGGACTCCAAAAGAAATACCAAGAAGGCTGAGTCAGGGAAGAGTGCCAGCACCGAGATGCCAGGCCCCTCAGAGGATGCGGAAAAGAACCGGAAGATCATGCAGTGGATCATTGAGGGGGAGCGGGAGGCTAGCAGGCACAGGAGGGCCGGCCACGGGTAAGAGCTGCCACCACAACCCGTGGTGCTGCGTGTGGGCCCTGGGCCCGAATGCTCCTGCGTTCCCTCTCGCCACACCGCCGACAGTGGAATCAAGACCAATGGGGACGCCGCAGGAGCTTGTTGCCGCCTGCCAGGTGGCCCCGGGGCGGGGGTCGGTCCTGATGCAGCTCTGGTGTCCCAGGCAGGAGTGCCTGTGGCTGGGGTCAGCCTGGTCACCACTCCTGACCTGCTAAGGAGAGGGCTCCGTCACACGGCTGTTCTCACAAGGTTATTTGTGGAGTGGCGACACCTCCACATGAGAACAACCTGAGTCCTGGGGGTGGCTCGGCAGACATCTGACCGTCACACCAGATGGGGCTTGCTGGGGAACAAGCCTCAGTGCGTGTACTGGCCGCCCCCGGCTGGCCGTGGAGTCGGCATCCCTCTAGCTCTGCGACCCCACGGGGTGGCGCACTGCTCTGGCCATGCCCAGGCTGTCCACCTGGGGGCATCTGTTCGGGGGGCCTGGGGCTGCTGGGATCTGTCTGTCACTTACGTCTTCTTCCTCAGTCTCAGACTCTGCTGGCCCCCATAGTCCTTGGCCGTGGCTGGGCAGGGCTGAGTGTGTGTGAGAGGCAGCCCTGGCACCTGCCCAACCCGTTCCTGAGTGGCAGCTTGGGGCCTCTGTGTCCTTTGACTACATGACCTTGGGAGCGACCCCTCACCAGTGTCCAGGCCTCTTTGCGGTCACAAAGCTTTTCCTGGCGAGGGGCCTCGAGTCCCTCTCTGGCTCTGATGAGCCTGGGGGTCGAGTGTCGGCTTTTCTGAATTTTTTCCTTTTGCTGGTTTTCTCCAGGAACTGCTCTGTCTCAGCTGTTACCCCCAGTGGAGGGTTTCTGTGGTTCAAGAGTTACAGCTCATCTAGAAAGCCTCCTGGCTTTAGGTGGCTCCTGCTGTTGGGTGCACTGTTTTAAATGGTGGCACATCATTGTCCCCACTGGGCCCTCCCTGGCATCCCCAGAGTCCAGGCTGTGGGGCCTCTGACATTGTTCTCACGTGGGCGGTTCTGGGGGAAATAGAGGGCATGGGGCCAGGATGGGGGCCAGGATGGGGCGCAGGGTCTCCCTGTGGCTGGCCTCCGGACTGTTAGGAGGGAAAGCCCGCCTCCCATGGGCAGTTGGGTCACAAGGGCACTGGGCCAGACCCTTCCTGGGCCCATCTCTGCCCCCGGCCTTCAGCCCTTTTCACTGAGATTCTGTTCAGCGGTTGAATGGTGGCATATTGCATAGGCATAAACCTGTTATTGGTGTTTAATGGGAAAGGGAAAGAATGAGAAAAACAGTCATGAAACCTTGTGTGTTTAGGATTATGCAAATTATGTTTAGTGTTTTTAATAGGGAAGGAGATTTGTCGATGCACTGAGAGTTGGCATTTCTGAATTATATCAGGGATTATCTTTGAGTTTCCTGTATACTTCAGGTTTCCACAGAGAGTGTTTAATACTATTTTCTAGAACAGTAAAAACTTTTTAAAAATAGTTTTTAGGATGTGATTTATGTTTCAAAAAGCTGGTAAAAATAAGTTTAAAAAAATGTGCAAGGAGGACATGTTTGTGTCTCGTGGATAGGAGGAGAGCGCGGAAGGCCTCCTGAAGCCAGGGCCAGGCCCAGGACCGCCCGGCCCTCCCTGCCTCCTGCCCCGCCCCTGGCGCTCACCCGTGGCCCAGGGTCTCAGATGTGGCCGCGCTTTGTTCTCTTGCTCTAAAAGGTCTTCAGGGGCAAAGAAGCAACAGGCCCACGAGGGCTCAAGGCCCCTGTCCATTGAGCGTCCTGGTGCCATGCACCCCTGGGTCAGTGCGCAGCTCCGCAACTCTGTCCAGCCTTCTCATCTCTTCATTCAAGACCCCACCATGCCACCCAACCCTGCCCCCAACCCTCTGACCCAGCTGGAGGAGGCCCGCAGGCGCCTGGAGGAGGAAGAGAAGAGAGCCAGCAAGTTACCCTCAAAGCAAAGGTATGGGGGCACCAGGGAGAGCACGCCAGTATCACCCGCTGGGGCCACACAGGGGCTGTAGCACTGCTTTGGAGGGTGAAGCTCCCCAGGGACTAAGGTCCCTACAGTAGAGCTACCGTGGCCACCCAGAGCGTGACAGGTGGCCCTGCTATGTGTGTGACCAAGGGCTGGGAGGCAGGTGGTCATTACTGTGTCCTTCTGAGGAGAGGCAGTCCTCCATGAACTACACCCACTGTGCTCACCCAGGGCTTCCGGGGGGCTGCAGGGTCCCCACTGTGGCGCGGAGCAGCTCACTGGCTTACCGTTAAACACTGCAGGCTAAGTGTGGGGGGGTCCTGGATGCCTCTCTTCACAGCCACACCGAGGGGAGCCTTAGACGTGCTGTTTGCAGGTGGGATGTTAACAGTGCCAAACGAAATGCATGTGACACTCTTCCCCTGAAGAGAATGCAAGCCCACGGCCCCTCCTCACTGCGCCTGCCATGGCCTCAAGCCAAGCACGTTCCCCCCACCCCCCTGCCTTTTGTGGGTGGCAGGTCTTCTCTCCAAGCTGGAATGTGGCTTCCCTGCTTGCAGCTGGGCCTTGAGGTCACTTTTCCTGGAAATTCTGGCTCAGTGGAATTCCCAGGGTCACTGTGTAGCGCCTGGATATATATATTTCCCACTCAGGACCTGGGAGCATGGTCACACAGTGGCCACCATTTTCTTAGGATGTTACAGCCCCCTTCGCCCAGTGCTTGGCCAGCCGGGTGTCTGGAGTCTGACCTCCCCTTCCCAGGAGCCTTGCTGTGTGTGGAGCTATCCACTTTGGGGAAGCTGCTGTCAGGGTGCAGACCCTCCATAATGTCTGTTTTGGGAGGCACAGCGGGAAGCCCGAGTTTACCCCCAGGTTGCCAGAGGTTCCCGTGTTTATGGCTGGCTGACACCCGTCATCTGGTCTCAGGTAACACTGAGCCGGAGCATCGGCTCTGAGCAGGACACTTGCCTGACAGGGCCTGTGACCCGAGGCAGACGGGGGCTATGTAGGGGTGGGGAGGTGCCCCAGGGCGAGCGGGCAGGCGGCAGAAACTGCTCCCTGCCATGCAGACCGTCTGCAGGGGCTTCCTGAGACCGTCCTCCTTGCCTCTGTCTGGGACCGAGACCCTCCACGGCCGTGTGCTCTCTCTGGTGATGTGTGTCAGGGTGCGAGCCTCCTGCTGGGGTCTTGGTCATGACACTGGGGTTTCCTCGTGCCAGCTGTCCCGAACACGTGGGCCCTTTGTAAACAGCTGCAGACACACAGAGCAGAGGTCCAGAGGCCACAGTGAGGATGCAGGGCCCTCCCTGAGATTCTCATAGGGGCCCCTGGGGCTGCACAGAATGGCACCGGGGTGGATGGCCATGTGGAGAGGAACCATGGGCAGCAAGCCCTGGGACAGGCCTCCCCAGCTGCTTCAGAGGAGCTGGTCTGCATCGGAGCCCTGAGCGGGCGGAGCCACGTCCACAGGGCAGAGGCCAGAGGAGACCCTCTGGGAGGCTCTACGGTGTGGATGAAGCGAGGAGGTCCCAGCGTCTTGGATCGGTGGCTCTCCAGAGAGTGACGCAGGGAACCCGAGGGCTTCGTGGCCTGAGGGGCAGTCTGGGGACTCTGGACTGACGAAGCAACATCTGTTTCTGGATGATCCTGGCAGATCCCTTGCTGTCCCCGTCCTGTGCTTCAGCCCAAGAAGGGGTTTGGTGTCTTCCCATCTTGCACAGCGGAAGCCTCGTTTAGTGGTGACAGGCCCTCTTGGGGAACCCTGCTCCATCTGCCTGCTTGTCACCTGTTGTCACCTTGGAGCATTGAAGGAGGCCCTGCCCCAGGCCTGTGTGGCTCACTGACATGGTTGTTCCCTAGGTATGTACAGGAGGTCATCCAGCGGGGGCGCTCCTGCGTCAGGCCAGTGTGCACACCCGTGCTAAGTGTGGTGCCAGCGGTGTCCGACCTGGAGCTCTCGGAGACAGAGTACGTGCACCCCCAAGGTCCTCCCGGTCCTGCCCACACAGCCCGCGGTGGAGCAGCTGTTCCTGGACAGGGGCACGGGCACCGCACTGGAAGAACTGGAACGTCTCAAACTGCCCGCAAGCCCCTCCTTCCTGTCTCCACCTAAGGAGATAGCAACCGTCCACATGGTGACAAGTGGTCAACAGGCCAGAGAGCCAGTCCGCTCTGCCTCCTCCATTCTGGCCACACGCCCCTGCCCACATTTACTTCCTAAGCTGCCCAGCCCAGCCTTGTGATGGACGGCACCGTAGCCACGATGCCCTGGCCCGCGGCCGATTGAAGGCCTCGGCACCAGTAGTGCGTGTGTGTACAATGCTGTGCTCTACATGGGATTCAGGAGTCAGAGCTCTGCGTGTTCAGGGCGTGTGTTGGGGACCTGCAGCCATATATAGACAGTACTGGCCACCGCGTCCCCGCATGTGTGCCTAAGACAGCAGAAAGGGAGGGGTCCCCCACAGTCCTCGCCAGGCTTAGTCCAGATGATGCTCCGTCACATCCAGTCAGGGGCACTGAGTGGCTCAGAGCCTCCCCAGCAGGTCACCCCTCAGGGGTGGTCCCAGAGAAGGAGAAGTAGGGTCCTGGCATCCCTTCTATAGAGAATGGACCCCTACGCGTCCCCCAGGTGGGCTCCCGGGACAGGCCAAGGTGATGCCTGGTGGCCCAGGAGCACCAGGGAATGGAGGGTCCCCAGGGAGAGAGGAGCCTACCGCGAACTAGGCGGCCTTCCTGATGTGATGCCGGCATTCCCAGCTGGCAGGGCCAAGGGCTGTGGCCCAGTGTACCCAGGCAGCTGCAGGGCACAAGGGCAGTGGAGGGCAGAGGCCTGCTGCCTGTCCTCCCAGATGCAGCTGCTTAGCGCCTGTCAGGAGGAGGGTCCCATCCCAGCCCGGGCAGGAGGCAGTGCTGGCCTCACACCCCTCCCTGGAAGCCTTGCATGCACAGCCTCTGGCCCTCAGACAAGCTCTCCGCTGTGGGGCGGATCCATTCAAGACCCGTACACAGTTCTGTGTGCGGCCTGGACCTGGCCTTCAGGTGTTTTTGAAGTTTTTGGGTTTTAGGCCTTAAGTGTGAGTCTTATCCCAGCCTTGGGCCCAAGGCTGCATCAGTTCCTGAGGCCTGGCCATCCTAAGCCAGGCGGAGGGACCCACCATGTGTCCACTTCTTTGTGATCTCGGGTGGTGTGCTGCCCACCAGACAGCTCAGGCCACAGACCCTTGGCCTGGCCGTGGGTGGAGGAGCATGGTGATGTGGCATGAGGCGGGCAGTAGACAGATGAACTGGTGTCCACTCTGCATCAGCACACGGGGTTAGCACAGGACTGGCACCTGGGTTGAGATGCAGCACAAGGCAAGGGCCCCGGGGATCAGGTGCAGGCGGGTGGGGTGGTGCAGGGCCTGTGGACACATGGCATTTGAATATGGCACAGCTCACCCTTGCAGGCCCTGCCTTGTCATGTACTGGGGAGCCCAAGCCCATTAGGGGATGTTCTGTGGAACCCTGAGCCCAGCAGTCACCATTGCTTCTCTGCCGCCAGGACAAAATTGCAAAGGAAGGCAGGCGGTGGGGGTGCCCAGCCATGTGACAGCACCGTCGTGGCTTACTACTTCTGTGGGGAGCCTATCCCCTACCGGACCCTGGTGAGAGGCCGTGCCGTCACCCTGGGCCAGTTCAAGGAGCTGCTGACCAAAAAAGGCAACTACAGGTACGTGCCCACAGGCAGTGCTGTGCGATGCTGGACATGCCTCTGAAGGCGGCTGTGCCCTAGGTCCTTAGTCTCCACTGTGACCCACTGCATTGGTTCCCAGGGCCTGGCCATCCTAAGCCAGGCAGGGGGATCTGCTGTGTGTGTCCACTTCTGTGTGGTCTGCGGGGTGGGTGCCACACAGTGAGAGAGGATCAGAGGCCATTTGTGACAGATGGGCACTGTAGCCACCACCCTGGCTGTTGGTGTGAGCCCCTCATTCGTCATGGGTGGCCTCAGGGCTCCAGGCTGGCCAAGGGGTCTAGAGGGAGCCAGTTCAGGGCTCTTGCCTTAAGGTGGGAGACAGAGGCCCCAGCACAGTGGTCTGTCGGTCCCCATGCTGGTGTGGCCTGCGCTGGGCTTGTCTTCAGTCTGCTAACTCAGCCCGTTTTTACGCAACTACAGGAGCCAGGTTTCCCTTCTCAGGATCCACCCTGGGCTGCTCAGTCCTTCCAGCCCGAGACCAGCCTCTGAGGGCCCCTGAGTGAGCACTGTAGGAGGAACAGGGGCAGGCCGGGTCTCAGCCAGGGGTGACCCGCAGTGGGCTTGGGAGTTGGGGGTTTCCTCTGTCTACCAAGTAGCTGAGAAGGGGCCCATTGGGAGGTGTGGCCACTGGAGGAGGGCCCAGGCTCCCCTGGCATCTGCTTGGGCCTGAGTGGGGCACATGACCCTGATGGAGACAAAGATTCAGCCCTTGGGGAGGGAAACCCCGTGCCTACCCATTCCTTACCCACAGGCCAGGGCAGGGGACTCCACATGTGGCCAGTGTGGGCACCAGGCAGAACCAGCTCACGTGCCCTGCAAGAAGTATCTGGAGCTTGTCCACAAAGCCTCTGTGCATGTGTGGGACAGTAGGGCTGACAGGCGGGCGTGGGGCAAGGACAGGCCCTCACCACCCCCTCCCCCTCTTGCACCCCCAGATACTACTTCAAGAAAGTGAGTGACGAGTTTGACTGTGGGGTGGTGTTTGAAGAGGTTCGGGAAGACGAGGCTGCACTGCCTGTCTTTGAGGAGAAGATCATTGGCAAGGTGGAGAAGGTGGACTGACTGCAGGCCTGGCCTCCGTGCAGGCAGGCCTCCATGGGCGGGCAGGGGTAGGGCGCCACCCTGAGGCCTGTGAAGGGCCCTCTCACGTGCGTGGCAGACTCACAGCCATGGCAGAAAGCCAGTTGTGATCCCACAGCTGCCCACCCCTGCTGTCGGCCTGTGTGGTCGAGGGTCCCGAGTCCTTCTGAGTGGCACCACAGGCTCTTTCCTGCTGCTGCCCAGCAATCCTTGGAGGGCCTACCTGAGCAAGGAGCCTGCTGTGCAGCCACCTTGGTGACCTTTCCCAGTGTCCCCCTGCTGCTAACCTTGGCCAGCCCTCTGGCAACTGGCCCCCTGGCGCTCACACTGCAGGCTCCGCAGGACTCCCCTCATACCCTGCCCTGATTGGGTGCAGGGGGCCCTGCAGGGGCCTCTGTAAATTGTACACGTCACCGAGTGCCTTCAACAGCTGCCTCTTGACTGCACTGTGCGGACCCAGCGACAGAGCACCAGGCTTAGCCTCCTGCACCCTCAGTTTCCCAAGCGCCAGCTCAGTGGGTCCTGGGTCCTTCCCTTCTAGGTCCCATGTAAATATGTACATTACTCAGGCTGTAGCCAGCAGGGGGTTGCCCCAAGACCATTTTTCATGCGCTGACTTGTAAAATTTTCTTTTCAAAGGTACTTGGATAAGAATGAAATAAATCCATTTTGAACCTATCCTGCTGTGAAGTGCACGTCTTCTGTGAGTGGGGCCTGGCTGACAGGGTGCCCCCTTGGCCAGCTGCTGGCATATGGGCTGTGTTGTGGCCCCACAGCAAAGGAGGTGGCCTCCAAGGATCACGGATGGGTGTCTGGGGGAGCACATGGGCAGAGCCCTGGAGAGGGTGGGGCTGAAGACAGCAGCAGCCCATGCCCTGCTTTCCTGTCCAGGACCTAGGGATCCAGGTCCCAGCCAGGGATCTGCCCAGGAGCCTGGAGGCAAGGGCTGGGCCCCTCCAAGATGGAACAGGCCCCAGGAGGCTGAGATTTTTGCCAAAGCCCAGGGCCAGGAGCCCACCGCGCTCAGGAACCATGCACACAGTCCACGACAAAGCTCTTTATTCCCAGCCCAGGGTTTCCTGGGGCATTGAGGTGGGGATGCCAGGTGGTGGCGCGGGGCTGCTACAGCTCCTCCTTGGGCTCCATGGTGGAGTTGGCTGGCGTCTTCTGGAAAGGACCCCAGGCCCTGCTAGAAGCTGTGCCCTTAGCCCACCGTCCGGAGGACTTGCCCTGAGACCCGGGACCATGGGACAGAGATACCCACCGACAAGGGGGCCGCCGGCTCCTCCGGGGGCTCCTCTGCAGGCAGCTCACCCCCACTGTCCAGGAACCTGGAGAAGCTCTCCAGGTCCCTGGAGCTCTTGTATTCAATCACCTGAGGAGCAGGAGTCTCTGGACGCTCGACCTAGACCTCAGGCCCTCAGCCAGGCCCTGCCCGGGGCCCTGCCCCCCAAGGCACCTCCAGCTGGGGCCACGCCCGCCGAGCCGCCTCTCCGCCCCTCACCTTCCGACCAGGCCCTGCAGGGAAGTACTTGAGGGTGGGGAAGCCGTGCACGACGAAGGCCAGCTCGTTGGCTGTGGCGTCCAGCTCCGCGATGATGATGTCCTTGTGGTCTTTGTACTTCTCTGCCAGTGTCTGCCAGGTGGGGGCCATCTCCTTGCAGTGGGTGCACCATGGGGCATCTAGGAGAGGGGGCATCAGTGCGGCCAAGCCCCCCACCGCCCACCTGCCCACTGTCTACCACTCTGAACTCACAGAACTTGACAAACACGTTCTTGGTTTCATCAAAAGCCACCTGCTCGAAATTCTTGCCCACGAGGGTCTTGACCGGCCTCTGGTCCCAGTCGGGGGGCACCTCTTGGCTTAGGCGGTAGGGCTGGGGGAAGCAGCCCAGTGCTTCACTCTGGCATCTCTCCTGACAGCTGCTGCCCCCACCCCTACCCGCATCCCCCCGGTAGATGTCTCAGCTGACCTGGATCTTGCCACTGAGCACTGCATGGCAGAAGGTGGTGACAGAGGCTGCAGTAAACGGCTCCCCAGCCTCAGGTGAGAACTTCTTGGTGGTCTCCATGTTGATGAAGCGCAGGGTGGGGGCCTCCTTAGCTTTGAGGCCGAAGTACTGCAGCACATGGTCATTGCCAGCAGCCACATCCACCACCACGAACAGCACCTGCCAACAGGGAGTCCGAGCTTGGCACCCCACCGCCTCACCCCTCCACCCACCAAGCCAACCAGTACCTGCCCCCGGAATGGGGGGGCCACCTCCCCAAAGCCTGCCAGCAGCTCCCTGTGTGAGGACAGCGTCTGATTGATGAACAGCAGCAGGTGGTTGAGGATCTTGGCAGCGAAGATCTTTGGGGACGTCTGCGAGGCAGGCCAAACTCATGGGGACCAGCTCCAGGGCCTCCCCACCCACCTCCTCTGCCTGCACCTGCGCCTGCGGCCCAGCTCACCTGGCTGTTGAACTCTGTAACCAGGTGCATGCTGTGCACAAGGAGGAACTGCGACAGATCGCCCTGGTCCAGACCCAGCTCCTGGTCCACCGGGAAGTCTGCCCGCCCCTCATCAAACTGGAGAACAACAGGGTCGTCAGGAGCCATAGCCCTGACCCCAGCACCCCCAGCCCTGGCTCACCTTCTTGAAGAGGACAATGGTGTCCTTGGTGAGGCCAAACTTCTGAAAGAGCTTCAATCGGTCAGTGAGGCCAAAGGTCATGTCCAGGGCATCCCGGGCCAGGGCCAGGAAGGTGGCCACGTCCTCGTCCTGCAGGTCCTAAAGGAGCCTGAGCCTGTGAGACCAGCTGGCACCATAGGCCCTGCCCCCACCCCACGGCCTGACACCACTTCCAGCTCACCTGGAAGAAGCCAATGACCACCACATCCTGGGCATCTATCAGTGCTTGGGCTCCCTCCTCGTCCTCCAGCCGCGTGGCGCTGGACCCCACCCGCCGCCTCAGCCACTCAGCAATGCCCTCCGCCTCCTGGGGGCCTGCAGAGAGTCCCCTCAGCCTGGGCCCAGCCCCCGCCCCCACTCCCCAGTGCCTCCTGCCCCCTCCGCACCAGTGTATTCCTCTGGGTGTGCGCGGTTCCCGTCTTGAAAGAACTTGAGCGTGGGGTACTCTGTCACAGCGAACTCCTCTGTGAGCTCCGGTTCCGCAGGCCCCTCCACCTTGGCCAGCCTGGCTTTGGCTGACTCTGCTGCCAGCAGGGCTGCCGCCTTGCTGTATTCTGGGGCCAGCGCCTTACAGTGCCCGCACCACGGGGCATCTGGGGGACAGAGCCATGAGCGCCCCTGGCCTCCACGGCCTCAGCCACAGTCCCTCCTTGCACCCGGCCAGAGCTGGCAGATCTCAGGGGGTCAACAGGGAGCGAGTACATCCCGTGCACACCTCCCTCCGCAGGGCCCACCTGAGCCTCGGCCATACTGAGCTCAAGCACCAGAGAGCAGACCCTCAGGACCCCAGCTTGGGGTGCAGCCTCCAGCACTGTCCTGGAAGAGCCCGGCTGCTGCCCCTGGAGTCTGGGCACTCCAGCCATACCCGGCTTCCCATTGACACCTCCCAGCTAGGAATGGCTTTCACATGTGCAGAAGGTCGCAAAAAAAATGACAGGAGAATTTGCAAGGCTTGAGTGCTGTCTGGTCCTTTACAGAGAATCTGCCAGACGGTGGTCTTGGGTCTCCCTGCCCCTGTGCTTCCCCCAGAACCCCAGGAGCACAGTGGGGGCTGAGTGCCCACTGGGGAAGCCCCCTCACGGGCATAGGATCCCACATGCCCAGGGTGGGAGATTGAAACCCCTGGGTGGCCCCTGTGGGCCCCCCCAGCCCCTCTGGCCCCATGCACTCACAGAACTCCACCAGCAGGGCAGGGTGCTCCCGCAGGGCCAGGCCTAGGGTGTGCTGGCTCAGCACCAAGATCCCATCCTCCTCCGGGACCTGCTCAGGGGGTTCCTCCAAGGGACCCCCAGGCCCCGACTCCTGGCCCCATGGGCCCAAGGCCCCGAGCACCAGCAGCACGAGCACAGGTAGGAGCTGGCCGTACATGGCGGTGCCGGGCCCATGGGGCAGGGCAGATAAGGGGGCCGGGGGCCAAGCAGCAGCAGCCACGTGGCATCCAGGCCTTGTCCCAGAGATAAGGCCATAAGCCTCCCCCAACCCCAGGGGAGGGGAGGCAGACAGAGGCAACACCGAGGGCACAGAGACAGGGTGACATTTAATAGGACTGCTCAGGGCACAGAGCTGGCCTGGGAGTGGGCAGCCAGGCCAGGGCAGAGGATCTGGGGGTCTGGTCACAGGGGCTAGGGGAAACAAGGACCACAGGTGGGAAAACAGCCCTGAGGTGGGGATGCTCAGCCCTTCCAGCCCTGGCAGACGTGGAGGCCCCACTCCCAGGACAGGTGGTCCGTCCTGTCGTCGTCCGTGAAGAAGGATGTGACCACATAGGCTCCACGCACCAACGGTCCCCGTGGCGCCTCCTCCACCGGAGTCACGAACTCGTACTCGTGGGCGCTTGGGCCGTAACTGCCCACCATGTACACGGCCTTATCCACTGGGGGGCGGTAAGGACGTGAGGACTGCCCTCTGCCTGCCCCGCCTCGCCCCCCGCAGGACCCGCCCCATGCAGCTCACCGCGCAGGCCCTGGCGGTAAGTGTGATGCAGGCACTTGAGGCCACTGACGATCTCCTTGTTGACCTGCAGGACAGGGCGTGTTAGGGACTCCCTCTGAGGAGCTGGGTCTGTGCCAGCCGGCGCCCCCACCACAGCTGCCCTCACCTTGAAGGTGATCTTCACTTTGTAATCAACGCCCTCCTTCAGGATGAACACCTGGTGTTTCAGTGCAGCCGGCTCCCCTGTTAGGCAGAGTGCAGCTCGGGACGGAACCCCTGAGGTGGCTGAGACCGCCCAGGAGCCCCCAGGGGGACAGTGCCTGTGTGGTCTGGGCAGTGGGCCCGAGGCCTCGGGATTGGGTACAGGGGTCCTGAGAGGTCTGTGGCCATGAGCCCAGGGCTCTACCCCAAAGCTCTGTGGTCTGCAGAGAGGAGTTGTGAGGTCCCTCCCTGGGGCTCAGGGCTGCACCTGGTGTCCAGGGGTTACCTGTGAGGTCCATGGTGATGGGGCCTGGAGCTTGCTCAGATAGCAGTGTCAGGCTGGTCACCTGCACGTTGGGCAGGCTGGGGTCTGAGGAGAGACCGGAAGTCCACAGGGTGCTCCCATCCTGCCCCTGCTCCCAGCCCGGGGCCTGAGCATACCCGCGGCGGGCGGCCCGGGCCCCAGCAAAGCCCGCTTGTACTTGGCCAGGCTCTTGTCGTCTGGGTCCAGCTGCTGGATCTCCTGGAGGCTCTTCCTCCCCGGGGCCCGGTACTCCGGCAGGGCCTCGTCCAGCGCCTCATCCGGCGGTAGCTGCCTCCCCTCCTTGTCGGTCAGGAGGACTGGAGGTCCGGAAGGTGCATGAGCAGCCACCCCAGCTGACCCTGGCTTTCACTTGTCAAACTGCAGCCCCATCTGGCCAGCTGGGCCTCCTACTGCCCAAAGGGACTTAGGAGGAAGCAGTGGGGGCTCAGGGAGAGGGGGCTGGGCGGACACAGAGCAGCACCCGTCCCAACCCTTGTGGGAGAGGCCCTGGGGATGGAGAAGGCTCCCCCGTGACATCCTGGAGGCACCAGCTGCCTTCTGGCCCAGCCATCCAGCCATCCAGGGTCCCTCTCTGATGCCGAAGGGAAGGAAGGGAAGACCCTTATGTGGGGGACACGGACTGGCGGCCAGCACGGTAGTCCCACTTCCCAGGTCGTCCCTAGAGTAGAGGGTCTTCCCCATCAGTCTGGGACCCCAGGCTTTAGGACCTCTTCCCATGTTTCCATGATGCCTCGGGGTCCTCACCATCCTGTTCTGGGACTTGGGCAGGCCTTCCAGTCCTGGGGGTGGGCGGTGTTTGCCTCTACATCCCTCCCCTTACCCTCGGAGGCCACCTCCAGGGTCCCTCCAGAGGGGTGTCTGTAAGTCCCTTCCCATGGTGCCTTAGGGCAGGGTCTCTCCAAGCCCCTTCTCGTGGTGCCTTGGGACATGGTCTGAGGCTCTGCCCGCGGCGATCCACCCTTAGGGATGCTGCAGGCCTGCAGGGATGCCCCCGCCCCGCCCCAGCCAGGGGGGATCTCAGGGACAGGGTCCAGGGAGGAGGGGCCTCCTGCCACCCTGGCTTCACAAACAGACCCGCCCACCCCCTTGCTCCTTTCCCCGTGAGCGCCTAGCCTGGACGAAGCACCGACACCATACACAAGCCCCGCCAGGGCCCAGACGGGGGATCGCGACATGCGGCCCCCACGCGCGCCCCAAAGTTTCCGCGGGGGAGGGGCTCAGCCCCTTCCCGAGCCGCCGCCCACGTGGCCGCCCTGGCCCCGGCCTGGCCGCTCACCTCGGGCGCACAGCGCCAGCCGGAGCAGCTCCAGCAGCTGCGCCCCCAGCTCACACGCGTCCAGGCCCAGCATGGTGGCCGCGGCCCGGCCCCGCCGAGGAGCCGCGCCTGCCCCGCCGCCGCCCGGCTCGGCGCTCAGCCCCGGCGCGACTGCAGTGAGCTCATCCTGGCCGGGAGCGCCCCCCGCGCCCAGCGCCGCGCCCGCGCCGCGCGCCCCCAGCCGCTCCGCGGACCCCGCGCAGCCCCGCAGAGACGCGCGTGTCCCCGTCGCGCGCCGTCCCTGCCGCCGCCGCCCCCGCGCACCGGCTCAGGCCATCAGAGCCGCCCCACCCCTACGGCGCCGGCGCGGGCGGGAAGCCCCCTGGGCGCGGCGGGTGGGGCTGGGGGCGCCTCGGGGAGCAGGTGCGTCTCCTCACGTCCCCAGGCTCTCATTACCTGCCGGCAGTGCAGGCCGCACCTGGGGCCTCACTGGCCTCCGCCCCTGTTGCCCTTCCCTCCCCCTGCTCCCCACCTCCCCGGAGCTTCTGCCTGGGCAGAGGGGAACGGACTGCAGGGTGTGCCCAGCCTTGGGAGCTGGGGTGCTGTGCCCGTGTGCCCTGTCTGGAGCCGGGATCCCCAGGTTCAGCCCTCGGCACAGAGGGACCAGTGCCCACCCGCACGGTGCAGAGCGATCCTGACGCACACATCGCTCGAGGGCCTATTCCTGAGCTCGCGCGAGGTGGCAGGGGTCCGTGTGGGCTCTGGGGAGAAAGTCCAAGAGAAGAGGGCAACGCAGGTCCCCAACAGATGCCTGAGGGGAGCACCGAAGGGGCTCCCGATCCTAAGCGCACCTTGGCGCGGGTAGAGGGTGTCCCGCCAGGGCAGGGAACTGGGGTGAGTGGGCCTCAGGCTGGGAACGGCCTGGCCACGGAATAGCAGCCTGGCGTCCCTTCTTACTATGGTCCCTCTGCTCCCGTCCCCATTTCTGAGAATACCCGTGGATCGCACCCACCCTTGCCCAAAGGAGCCCCTATCTGAGCAGAAGGCCAGCAGGCCAGGGGCTTGACTGGGGCTTGAGTGGGGGTTGTCCCCTGGGTGCCCACCTGCCCACAGTCTTTCCAAGGCAGTGTCCCCTAGCTGGAGCCCACGCCCTTCTAGGGCCCATCCTCCTGCCCCTTCCCTGGGTCAGGCAGTTGGTCAGAGAAGCCAGTCGTCCCCAGCCGGGGGACAGCTGTGTTTCCTGGTGGCCTCCAGCTTCTGTGGATGCCCATCCATCCAGAGAGGACCCCGCCTGTGTGGGCAGAGCTCACTGGGCCCTAAGGGGGATCGTCCAGTTCCCCTCTAGTCCCCGTGCCTCTGCTCATCCTAGACCCCTGGCCCTGGCAGCAGTGGAAACGGGCTTGGATGACTGCTGGCCAAAGGCCATGCCCCCATCCTGCCCCGCCCCCAGCACTCCCTAGAGGACGGGGACTCTACCTCCAAACAGCAGAAATAGATCTGTTTGCAACTCTTAAAAATGGTCCAGCATGAGGGTGGGGGGTGGAGAAAGGTGCCTGGGGTGACGGTGACAAGCTGGAGAAGGGAGAGAAAGGGCCAGGACTGGGCAATGTGGGGGAGGTGTTGGTATCCCCCCTTAGGGATAAAGGCCCTCCCCCACAGTCTGGAGGGGTGGGCTGGGGTCACTGTTCTCCAGCTGGCCCCATTAAGCCCTCTGTGCAGCTGCGGAAGGTGCGCTGCCTGTCCCCTTCCCCAACGCCTTGCAGGACCCCCACCCAGCACACTTGTGCAGCCAGGCAGTGTCACCAACCTGGTGGCACCACACCCATGTCATATGTGGTTGTCACACAATTGCAAGGACACATTCCTAGGGTGGTCAGGCCCCACCACATCCTGAGGGCGCCACATATTGGCATTGGGGTAAGGACACCAGCCCACCTGCCCCACAAATCCCCTCTCCTGGAGACCCACCCCCTCAGGGAGCCCCCCACCTGGTCCCAGCTGAGCCCCACACCCTCTGGACCAAAGGCCCCTCTCTGAACCCCCAGCTCCAGGCCGGCATCCCCGGGTGCCCCTCTACCCACTTGCCCCCCGCCCGCAAGCACGGGCCTCAGCTCCTCGAGTAGGTGGGGCGGGCAACCGGGGCGGGGCAGCAGCTCGGACACCACCCGGCGGGCTTCGCGTACGATGGCAGGTGACCCCACGGCCCCCGGCGGGCGCCCCCGCACGCAGATGCCGCATCTAAGCAAGGTGGGTGCCGGGTGGGGTCCCGCCATCGCCCCGGACCTCCGGCCTCCGAAGCCGGGAGGGGCAGCAGAGGAGCGGGCCGGGTGCGCGCGGGTATGCGCGGGCCTGGGGTGAGGGCACTGCTGAAGGGCCTGGGTGGCGGCGGAGGCCAGGCAGCCGGGGGGTCTTCCCTCGCCCAGGCCCCGCCCCACCCCGCTGCGGCCTGAACCCCGCAGTCCGCGCGCGTTACTCCTCTGGGCGCACTGATCGGGGGAGTCGGAATCCGGGGACCAGGCGACTCGGCCTGCGCAGCCCCGCAAGGCCCCTCTCCCCGCCAGATGGAGCGGCTGACCGTGAGCCTGCAGAACCCAGACCAGGGCGCGCGGATGCGCAGCCAGCGCCTGCTCGTCGCCGCCGTTCCCCACGCCGTGGCAGGCGAGGTGCCGGCGGCGGGGGCGTGCGGCCTGCCTTGGTCCCCCCACCCGAATCTCTGCTGTGCAGGCAGCGCGCCCCTGGAGCGGCTGGCCCAGAAGCACTGCATCTCAGGAGGGTCAGGGGGTCCGCCCGCCGCTCATGCCGACCCCGCCCGCAGCCCCGAGTTGCTGAGGAGTGAGGGCCGGGCGGTGTGCTGGGGAGGGCAGCGCGTCCAGGCAAGACCCACCTGGGTTCTCCCCGGCTGAGAACTTGCCTGGCGCTGCAGAGGCTCCGCACCTGGGCACCCTCCTGCTGCGGCACGGCTGCCTGTACCCGCTGCGGGAGCACCGCAGCCTCGGGCTCCAGCCAGATGGTTCGCCCTGCAGGTTCCAGGTGAGGCTCAGCAGGGAACGCGTGGGAACCCCCGAGGCTGGGTTCCAGGTGGAGAAGACGGTTGGTGGTCAGTGAGCCTCAGGGCATGGGTGAACGGGCAGAAGGGGCCTCAGGCCCCCCAGCACTGTCCCTTCCCAAGGGAGTGAGAGGGTGGGGCCGACTCCTGGGGTGAGTGCGGAAGGTCCAGAACGTCCCACACAGCCTTGTCTGCGCTGCACCAGACACTGTACTTCTGGACCAGCACCCTGTGGCCAGCTCCCGAGCTGGACTTTGGTGAGTGAGGAGGGATGGCCATCCTGGGGCAGGGGGAGCGGTGGGGTGGCTCCTCTGAGGCCTGTCCCCTGTCCTTCCAGCCATCTACCTGGCCAAAAAGAACACCCAAAAGCAGGGGGCCCTGGTCGACCATGAGAGGGTGGGGCCCGCTCCCAGGCTGAGTCCGGCCAGAGGAGCCCCCGGGCCTCATACTGCCCTGGATACACAGCCCAGGCCCCAGTTCCACCCTCTGTGCGTCCCGGTGGGGAGGTGGGGGTCCAGCCCCAGAGCTGGGCGGGATGGGAGAGACCTCGACACCCCCAGGAGCAGTACGACCAACCGCACAGGAAGACCCATACACATGGGACCTGGTAGTGATGCAGGCTGGAGAGCAGCTGCGTGAGATGCAGCCACGCAGGCACAGGGAGCCTTGGGACTAGAGGCAGCAGAGCCCAGGGGGGCAGGGGAGGGGCATGGCCCCCCAGTGTCCCCCAACTCTGCCTGCCCCCCATGGCAGCTAAGCAGTGCAGGAAAGGGGACAGACTTGTCATCGCATGCCAGGAGCAGACCTACTGGCTGGTCAATAGGCCCCCGGCAAGCACCTTACGTGGGGAGGGCGGTTTCTTGGGCAGCAGCAGGGTCTTGCTGGGAGGCCATGTGCTCTCAGGATGTGTGCTTCAAGCCCTTGGGAAGGACACGCCTTTTGGGGTCCCAGCTAGTGACAGGAGAGTCTGGTTCTGTGGTCATCAGAATCGAGGTGGCATGAGGCCAGGCTGGAGGTCACCCCCCACCTGCAGACCAGAGGACAAGCCAGCTTCTCTCTGGGCCTAAGGGAGAAGTGAATAGGGGGTGCTAAAAGCCCTTGGGGGGAGACAAAGTGGGGGCCAGGCATCTGCAGCAAGAGAGACTGAGGTTACAGGCAAGAGCTTCTGGGGTGCTGGCCTGGAGTCAGACCTTCTCCAGGACCATGGTCCTGGTGGATGGTTTGGGGTCACCCTGGTATGTGGGGCTGAGCAGGGAACAGGTGTCCATCCCAGCTCCATGCATGAAGGTCCTGTGGGGAAAGCCCATGAAACAGCAAGGGGAACCCACCAACCCGTCACCTCACCAAGGGGTCATCTCTGCAAAACTGCCGCTGACCTTCCCCCTGAGGGCTGGACAGGGGAGGGAGGTGGAAGGGCCACAGCCCAGAGGTGTCCGGGGCTGAGGCAGGACCCAGGGCCAGCAGGCCTGCAGTGGGCCGGGGGTCCACGTGAAGCGCATCTGGAGAGCTGGCGGGGGGCAGACCCGCGTGTGTGCTGAGGGCAGGGTGGCAGGTGTGATGGGGACGTGCCTTGAGGATGGTCAGGAGTCGGGTCTGAGCAGTGAGTGCACAGAGGTGAACTTGGCTGAGACAAGGGCAGACGGGGAGGTTTGGGGAGAAAGGTTAAGGATTTCACTTTAATGGCAAAGGCATGGATCGAGCTCAGAAGAGCCCTCAGCTGGTGAGGCGACAGAGGCAGGCAGGGTGGAGGGGACTCCTGCTCGGGGATTCACACTAAGGGTGATGCAAGGGCACAGAGCTTCAGCGTATGGGGGCTCTGGGGTGGCACTTGTGACTGGAGTGGGCTGGAGACCCCAGTGCAGAGCCCAGACCCTGCCTCAAGGGCTTGTTACCACAGCCCTCCCTGCACTGTCCCTGGCACCATGCCCTGCCCCCAGGTACCTGAAGTTCAGTGGTCAGCATGGGCCCCGTGGTCCTCCCAGCATCCTGTGGTCGTGGTTCAGCCTGGGAGCCCACTCATCTCCAGAACCACTAACTGGAGCAAGACACAGGTGGTTTCCTGTGGGTGGCATCCGTCATGTGGGGAGAAGGTGCAGGCCTCTGCGTGGGCTCACCGGCTACCCTGCACCCGCACTGTGGGGCTTGCGGAGTGACGCACGCTGCTGGGCGGAACCCAGCCTCCCGGGGGCCCAGAGCCAGCCCCAGGCTCACCCTGCCTGCTGGACGTTCCAGACGTCATCCTGCAGACCCATCATGTCAGGGTGCCTGCCCAGCAACCCTTGAGTCACAGACAATGTCCCCTTCTGGGCGGTGGGTGCACCCAGATGAGCCTGGGTGGGCCAGGAGCTGCAGGCGCGTTCTACATCCTCCCCACCTGTCCACATGTTCCCGGGGCTGCGGACTGACCCGCCCACACCCCTAGCGTGGCTGTGCTCACAAAGGTCCGCGTGGAGCTACGGGCCTTCAGCTTCCGGGAGCTCCTGGAACACCCTATGGGACGAGCCCACTTCACGGACTTTCTCCAGAAAGAATTCAGTGGTGAGAAGCCCCACCCCCCACCTCATGGCCCCAGGGAGGGAGGCTGCCCTCCTCCATGCTGTGGGTTCTTCACCAGGGCTGTACACAGAGGCGCCACCATCCTCACGCCTGTCCACGCCCCAGCTCATGGCAGGGCTTTGCCAGGGCACCTTTGGGGAAGGGGGTGGTGACACCACTCATCTTCCTGAGGGGGTCCCACCCTCCCCCAGACTCGTGGGGAGGCGCAGCTGCTCCTTTGAGGGCACAACTCTACTGGCCCACCTCTCCTGCTCTCACCCACTCCTGGCACAGAAATTAAAGACCTTGCTGTGGTCCACATTGTGGTGTGTGCACGTGTGTGTGTGTGTGAGCAGCCTGTGTGTGAGGTGGTGAAGGAGAATGGGGGAGGCCAGTGGCAGTGGCAGCAGCACGGAGGGTCCCTGTGCGTGGGGTCCATAGCAGAGGTGGGACCCGGCTGGCCTCAGGCTGCAGACTTGGGGTTTGGTCTTCAGGTGAGATAGCAGGACACATCGTGCTTTGGCAGGACAAAGGCCCTACGTGTCCCAGGAAGTGAGGAAACAGTCCCGGGAGCCCACGGTGGGGAGGCTCTTGGTGTTGAACCCAGTGTGTCCTGGGCCCGTTATGCCCTAAGGCCTGAGTTACGAGAAGCACAGCATGGGTGGACCCCCCAGAAGCCCCACAGTGCTCGTGGGCACAGCTGCTCTATTGGCTTGTCCAGGGCCCAGGGTGAGGGCCCAGCGCCCTGCTCCTGCGCACTCCCCCAGTACCGGCGTGGCAGGCCCGCCCCAGAGCCGACCCCGTGGTCCCCGGGACGCTGAGGGGCGCATCGAGCCTGCTGTGGCCTTGGCCTGGGCTGGTCGCGGCAGCCCTGTGGTGGGGCCCAGGCAGCTGGGTAGCCTCCACAGCACTTGGCGCCTGCTCCTTGGCATGAGGGCTCCCCCGCGCCCCCAACAGACCCCTCGCCCTCCCTCTATGCCTTTGTAAGGGGAAGGGAGACCAGGCTTTGCATGGCTGGGAGACAGCTTTCCACCTTGGGTCCAAAGGAATCCCTCCTCACTTGGGTGTCACTGACTCCCCCTGCCTGCGCTCCTCCTGTTTGGGAGGCTGCCAAAGCCCACCTGAGACCCTCCCCTGGCCAGCCCCCTAGCACGGGGGGGTGCTGGGGTCCCCCTCCTGACCACGTCCACAGTCTGGGTTCCTGGCTCACTGTGGGTGAGCAGGGAGGGGTCCTCAAATGGGCGATGCACTTGGAGGCCATGCTGATGGCTTCTGGTCGGTTTCTGATCAGGCAGGTGGGGCGGGGGGCATTCTGAGAACCCCAACTAGGGGATCCCCTGCCTTTCCTACCCTCACCTGGCAGCCTGGCCAGCCACAGACCTGCTTCCCTGCTGTGGAGCAGGCAGACAGACACAAGGCACACACAGGGGCCTTTTCACAGTTCAAATGTTTATTGTTATTTCTTCCTGCGGGACTGGATTTTTTTTGTTGGGGTGAGGCTGAGCCACACGAGCACCGTGGCGGCCTGGGGTACAAGGCACAGAGGTGGGTCCTGCATCCCGTGCACCACTGTCCGGGACGGTGGCACCAGGAAGGAGAGGCACAGGGACCAGGGGATAAGCAGCTCCAGTGTGTGAAGGGGGCGCCAAGTGACCCCAGGTGCGTCCCATGGCTAGTTCCTCAGGACATTCACAGCAGTCAGCCAGCAGAGGGGTGTGGGGCCCCGGGGGGTGTCCATGGGCGGCAGGCCAGCCTCCCAGCTCCAGGGCAGCCCCACCCTCCATGCCCCCCCAAGCTCCTGCACACCCGTCCGGCCAAAGGGCCCTCCGAGGCCAGTCACCAACCATGCCAGGGCCTCCCCTCCTTGCTCTTGGAGGGGCTGGGGGCTGGCACTGCCTCAGGTCCCAGCTGTGGCCAAGGCCATCCCAGGGTCCCACACCCCAGGGGGACAGCGCAGGGCAGGCCTGGGCTCCTCCACAACGATGGCCCTGCTGGGCGGAGACAAGGGAGGTGGGGTGCTGCAGGGCGAGCAAGGCCCAAGGGGCCCAGTGAGGCCTGCACAAAGGCAGCCGGCCTTGAGCAGGACCGCATCGTGAGAGGACATCAGGCTGGCAGGACTGACACCCCACGGAGGGCGTCCTCAGAGTCAGGAGGGGGCAGCCAGCGTGCGGGCTGAGCAGTGAGGGGCAATCCCCAGGGCGCTCCTTCCGCGGCTGCTGTGCACCTAGGCCTCCCTTCTGTACCGCAGGCGGGAGAACCGGTCCCGGATGGCCTGGTCGCTGTCAGGCACGCCCGCGGCCAGGCGGACCACTCTGCTGCCGGGGACCAGGTCCCGCACCTTGCGCTTGACCACGGAGACCAGGCCCGGTGCGTGGGGGCTGGCCGGGCCCGTCAGGAGGACAAAGGCGGCGTGGCGGCCGGGCTCAAACAGGGCCACTGTGGGGGACATGGCCACCAGGTCTCTTGGAACCACCCAGAGGAGACTCCCGGCGGGAGGGCCCACCAGCCCACACAGAGGCCAAGCTCACCTTGGAAGGCGACGATGTTGGCGGAGACGTTGGCCAGCTCCAGCAGAATGCCGGGCAGGGTGGGGTGGAGCATGTACAGGCTGTGCCGGGAGTCTCTGCGTTCCTACAGCGAGACCAGCAACAGGCGTGAGGCGGCCAGGGCCACTGCCACCTCCGTCTGGGCCGGAGAAAGCAGGTGCCCCACTCGGTGGCAGGATATGCCCCCCGCCCCGGAAGGACACTCCAGATAAACCAGGTCTGGATCTGCTTCTCCCAGGTGCTCCCGGGGTCCCACCCAACGTCAACCCCAGCTCTGCACGACCGCCTCCCCCTTCCCCAACCAGATGCTTCCCAGGCTTCCTCCCGGTGGGAGTGGGCATCCACCCTCCCCTCCCCCCAAGGCAGGCGTAAGCTGGGCCCCACGGGCCCCGGTGTTTCGCCTGGACTCACACCTACTCCTGTTCCCTCCATCTGTGATACCCTGTCAGCTCCCAGGTGCCTCAAGGAAGGCAGGACTGAAGCCTGGCCTCCGGCCATGGCTCCTGGTGCGGGCGTGCCCTGAACGCGTCCCACCCTACCGTCTGGTTGGCTCCCTCTGGCTCGTGCAGGCCCCAGAAGAAGAAGGCTGAGCGGTGGTCTGCAGTTGGCAGGCTGGCAGACTGCGGGTCCCCAGGGAGGCCAGGGAGGGCCTGGCTCCACAGGACAGCCCCAGTGCTGAGGTCCGAGAGCAGGATCTGGGGATGGGGTGGGGATCCAGGTGGGGCTTACACAGGCACATGGCCTCCAGCCCACAAGGAGCTGCCCTCGTCCCAGGTCAGCCCTCAGCCACAGCCCCATCTGACATTCAGACCGTTTCCTCAGCTACGAACCCAGGTAGGACCTCAGAAGGAAGGGCCACCAACCTGTCTGTCAATGCCAGTTCCGTTTTCAATGACCACGGCCAAGGTGTCAGGTTTGTAGTGGCCAAGGACAGGTTTTCTAGAAAAACAGGGCAGTAGGGCTCATTGGGGTCTCCTAGGAGATACCTGGGGACAGGTATGCTGTCTTCTCCTTGGCTGGACATGGAGGGGGCTGGTGCTGCCCAGGCCCGGAGTGAGGGGGCCGCATCCCAGGGGGCATGGGCCAGGGTGCCCAGCTCGCAGCAGCTTCACGGTTCTGGAGAAAAACCCCGTACCTCGGGACCTGGGCTACACTGAGAGTCCACCTGGGCGCCAGATCCTGTCCGTCCAACAGCACACAGGCCTCGGAGCTCACAAGGAGCAGGTCCTCGCCAGCGTCCCCCGGCACACTCATCAGGTGGTGGATGGCCCCTGAGCTGAAGGGGGAGAGCGGGAGGGCTGGGACCCACGGCAGGAGGAGGGGCTGTGTCCTAAGGGTCCAAGGCACAGCCCACCCTCCTGCCTGCAGCAGCAGCTGGGCAGAGGAGTCCGGGGAGGCCTCCTTGACCCTCACCTGCGCCTGGGCAGCCTGCCGGGGAGTGTGCTGAGCATGTCCTCCCACAGGGCGTCCTTCTTCAGGGCACTGTCTCTCTCGGTCACCTTCTCGTAGAGACCCTTCACGGAGCAGCCACACAGGGCATGAGCTAGTCAAAACAGCAAGGTCTCCGGTCAGCAGGTCCCACACATCAGCCCCGCATCCAGGACACACGCGGCTCTGAGCCGTAGGGCCCTGCCACCTGCTTTCTGAGCCTGCATGATTAACCTGCACTCCCTGGATAAAAGGGGCTGTTAAGGCTTGCTGCAGCCACCGACGTCCTCCCTGTCTCTCCAGGTGTACAGCTGCCTCAGGCCAGCATGGCCTCAGCTTTGGGGGACGCACATGACCTACCACAGGGGAGAAGGATGTAGTGGGCACCTGCCCTGGTGACGTGCAGGAGGGAGCCGCTGGTCCCATCCACACCGAGGCAGCCCCCATGGCCAATTTGCTTCCCGGTGCTTCCTGAATAGACATAGCCAATAACCTGCAACACAGGAGAAGGGGCTCGAACTCTCCTGGGTTGATTTCAGAGTGTCTGATGTCAGGTGCCATGCATGGCCACCTGGGGAGTGGGGCAGCCCTGCACCAGCCCACAGGGCCCCTCACGGTCCTCACAGCCTTGCCCCTGAGCGGCAAGGGCAGAGAGGAGGAGCACATGTTGCCCTGTTCTTGGGGGGGCCAGAAGCTGCCTGACAAGGAAAGAGCTGCCCCCGAGTTTGTGCAGGGCCCGGGGTGAGTCTCCTGCCAGGTGGTCAGACTCAAATTCTGTCTGGGAAGTGGACCAGGGGACAGAGAAGCAGCTGCATGGCGGGCAGGCAAGCGCCCCTGCAGGAGCTGTACCTCCCTTTCCTCCTGGGTGAGAACCAGCAGGTCTGGAGCCCCGTCGGCGTCGGCATCCGGCACCTGGAGCGGAGGGCCGAGGACGGACACGTTGCTCCCAAAGCCGCTGGGGCGGTTCCACAGGCTCTGCCCTGGACGGAGCACACCGACCCTGAGTGCCGGCCCTGCTGCAGCTGCACGGCGCAGCCGCCCACAGGCCGAAGCTGGCGAGCTGGACACGCCCTTGCGAGCAGGTCGGCGGCTGCCTGCAGGGCCGGAGCGCCGCTCCCAGGAGCGCAGAGCTCCCCTCTGTGCTTATTCGTGTTGGCGCTAGAGCGTCTCGGCCAACACCGAGCCCCCCGATGGACGAGGCCCGACCTGGCCGCCGCTCAGGGCACCTCAGGACCACCATCTACGCTGGGATCATAGGTGGCCCCTCTGCCCCCATGAAGGCCTTGGCCTGCACACAGGAGGTGCAGTGAAAGCATGTGCTTAGGGCTGGACGCAGGACAGCCTGTCCCCCGGCACACTCATCAGGTGGTGGATGGCCCCTGAGCTGAAGGGGGAGAGCGGGAGGGCTGGGACCCACGGCAGGAGGAGGGGCTGTGTCCTAAGGGTCCAAGGCACAGCCCACCCTCCTGCCTGCAGCAGCAGCTGGGCAGAGGAGTCCGGGGAGGCCTCCTTGACCCTCACCTGCGCCTGGGCAGCCTGCCGGGGAGTGTGCTGAGCATGTCCTCCCACAGGGCGTCCTTCTTCAGGGCACTGTCTCTCTCGGTCACCTTCTCGTAGAGACCCTTCACGGAGCAGCCACACAGGGCATGAGCTAGTCAAAACAGCAAGGTCTCCGGTCAGCAGGTCCCACACATCAGCCCCGCATCCAGGACACACGCGGCTCTGAGCCGTAGGGCCCTGCCACCTGCTTTCTGAGCCTGCATGATTAACCTGCACTCCCTGGATAAAAGGGGCTGTTAAGGCTTGCTGCAGCCACCGACGTCCTCCCTGTCTCTCCAGGTGTACAGCTGCCTCAGGCCAGCATGGCCTCAGCTTTGGGGGACGCACATGACCTACCACAGGGGAGAAGGATGTAGTGGGCACCTGCCCTGGTGACGTGCAGGAGGGAGCCGCTGGTCCCATCCACACCGAGGCAGCCCCCATGGCCAATTTGCTTCCCGGTGCTTCCTGAATAGACATAGCCAATAACCTGCAACACAGGAGAAGGGGCTCGAACTCTCCTGGGTTGATTTCAGAGTGTCTGATGTCAGGTGCCATGCATGGCCACCTGGGGAGTGGGGCAGCCCTGCACCAGCCCACAGGGCCCCTCACGGTCCTCACAGCCTTGCCCCTGAGCGGCAAGGGCAGAGAGGAGGAGCACATGTTGCCCTGTTCTTGGGGGGGCCAGAAGCTGCCTGACAAGGAAAGAGCTGCCCCCGAGTTTGTGCAGGGCCCGGGGTGAGTCTCCTGCCAGGTGGTCAGACTCAAATTCTGTCTGGGAAGTGGACCAGGGGACAGAGAAGCAGCTGCATGGCGGGCAGGCAAGCGCCCCTGCAGGAGCTGTACCTCCCTTTCCTCCTGGGTGAGAACCAGCAGGTCTGGAGCCCCGTCGGCGTCGGCATCCGGCACCTGGAGCGGAGGGCCGAGGACGGACACGTTGCTCCCAAAGCCGCTGGGGCGGTTCCACAGGCTCTGCCCTGGACGGAGCACACCGACCCTGAGTGCCGGCCCTGCTGCAGCTGCACGGCGCAGCCGCCCACAGGCCGAAGCTGGCGAGCTGGACACGCCCTTGCGAGCAGGTCGGCGGCTGCCTGCAGGGCCGGAGCGCCGCTCCCAGGAGCGCAGAGCTCCCCTCTGTGCTTATTCGTGTTGGCGCTAGAGCGTCTCGGCCAACACCGAGCCCCCCGATGGACGAGGCCCGACCTGGCCGCCGCTCAGGGCACCTCAGGACCACCATCTACGCTGGGATCATAGGTGGCCCCTCTGCCCCCATGAAGGCCTTGGCCTGCACACAGGAGGTGCAGTGAAAGCATGTGCTTAGGGCTGGACGCAGGACAGCCCCTTACAAACTCGTCCCCCGAAACCCGACTGATTCTTCACTTCTTGAAATATTTCCAGCATATCCTCCTTTTCAACACCAGAACTTATCAGGCAAACACGGAGGCCCATGGATCCAGCACCAAGAATCCCATCTGAGCCCTGTAAGGTACGGGGCTGCACCCCAGGGCCAAAACACCACTTCCACTAAGGCCTGGGCGGGCCCCCGTCCTCACCTCTGCCCGCCACCTGCCACAAGCCAGGTTTACAGTGGAGGTGACGAGACCTGGACATGTGACACGGCAGAGGAGCTGTGCCGTGCGATGCCAAGGGGCCGCTCCCTCACACGGGCTCCCCAGGGGCCCTAGGACCCTCCTTGCCTTCCGGTCCCTACACAGGAGCTCAGGCCGACCCTCCTAGAGAACCTGGCTCACCCTCTGGGGAGGAGCTACCTACCTGTGGACGCGTCCACAGCCACGAAGGGGCCCGGTCTGCCCACGATGATGCAGGCGGAGGCCCCACTGCCCCCTGGCTGCGGGACAGCACAGGCCACAAGGGCCCCATCCTGGGCTGCGGGCCTCTCCCAGAGCATGCTGCCGTTGGCCCCTGACATGGCCGCCGCAAAGGTGCAGGGGTAGGAGAAGCCTGCAGGGGAACAGCCTGGCTGCAGGGCTGCGCAGCAGCCCCACCCCAGCACTGGCTCTGCCCCACCCCCACTGCAGGGTCCCTGGGCCCCTCACCCCCACGTTCATGGGGGGCCACAGCCGAGCAGAGGCTGGGGTGCTGGACCCAGAGCCTGCCTCCTGGTCTCCTTCTAGTCCTGCTGTGAAGGAAGGCCAACATGACCCTCCAAACAGTGGGAGAGTGGGAGCAGTCCTCCTCCTAGGACACACCTCCTCTTTGGGGTAAAAACAAAATTACCTTCATCAGCACAGGATAGGTTGAAATGGCTGCTGCCCTTGGTGCTTTTATAAAGAAAGAGGACATCTTGGATCCTGTCCCTGTTTATGTCTTCTGTAGCCAGAAAGTCATAGGTGACTGAAAAAGAAAACCACAGACTACATTCCTCCGCCAAACCCGACACCGTCTCTTCCCGTGGTTGCAGGTAGTCAGGACCTGCCACGTGAGAGCGCCACTGCCTTCTTCCTGCAGGGACTGGCAGCCACCACGCCTCTCCGAACACCTGCAAGTCTTCACCAACACTGTGGTGGCAGTATCAGATGTGCACTTTAGGAGGGAACGAGCAGGACACCAGGGAATCCCAGATGCATGTCCTCACACCTGTTCAGGGATGAATCCCTCCCTAAGTCAGCCTTGGGTCTAGAGCATCTTCCATCCTCCTAAGGGGCTTTGCCTCCTTTCATTAAAGGATCAAATGATAAACTACATGTCTTGAAATTAAACAAAAGAATGAACCTGGGACTTGACCTCACATCATATACAAAAATGAACTCAAAATGCATCAAAGACCTAAACTTAAGTGGTAAAGCTAGAGAAATCCGAGAGGAAAACAGGGAAACACCTTCATGGCATTGGTTTTGGTAATGACTTCTTGGAGACGACACCAAAACACAAGTAACAAACCAAAAATGGATAAATTGGACATCATCAAAATTAAAAACTTTTGCACATCAAAGGACACTGTCAAGGGTAAAAAGGCCACCCACAAGATGGGGTAGAGTATGTGCAAAGCATGTCTCTCAAAGGGGCTAATATCCAAAATACATGAAGAGTGCAACCCAGCAACAAAAAGCAAACCAGTTTGAAAAGGGAAAAGGATCTGATGGACGTTTTTCCTATAGATACACCAAGGGCCACAGGCATGTGAAAAGATGCTCAATAACACTGGTCATCAGAGGAAAGCAAATGTGACCAGATGCTGCCACTTCATGCTCATCGGGGTAGCTATGTTATGAGACAGACTGAACAGAACGCAGGCCGTAGCGACTGGAGTCCTGCGCTTCGCCGGGGGGATTTGAATGGTGCAGCCGCCGCAGGGAACACAAGGGCAGCTTCTCAAAAGGTTAAACAGTTACTGTGAGACCCTGCAATTCCATTTTTCACGTTTACACCCAACATAAGATAAACAAGCCCTCAAATGTTCGCTGCATACTCATGTTCACACAAGCAGGATTCACAGCAGCCAAAGTTGGAAAAACCCTAGTGTCCATTAGTGGAACAGATGCACAGAATGTGGGCCATCCAACAATGGGATATTTTTCACCCATAAAAAGGAAGGGGATTCTGACACCTGATACCACATGGATAAACATCAGGGCATTATGCTGAGTGAATCACCCAGAAACAAAAGGACAAATTCTGTATGACTCCACTTATAATGTATGAGATCCGCAGAATAGGCATTTCATAGAGACGGAAAACAGAACAGGTTACCAGAGGCGCGAGGAGGTACTGTTTCTTAGATGCAGTTTCTGTTTGAGATGATTGAACGTTCTGGAAAAAGTGACCATGGCTACACAGAATTGTGAATGTGATAATGCCACTGAATGGTGTTCTTTAAAATGGCAGTTTTTTAATGATGTATATTTTACCACAACTAAAAAAAAAAAATTCAAACACCAGAAAGGACACTTCCAGATTCATGGAGTTTGGAGTTTGAGCAATCCTCTTCTGAAAAAAGAACAATCAAGGGAGACAAAATTGTCAAAAGCAATGTATCAGGCCGCTACAGACAGACTAATGGCACACAGCGACTGACGAAAAGCGGCGAAGCCTTGGGTCAGGAAAGGGGAGGCGCATGCTCACCCGGTGTGGCTCTTCCCTCCATCGGCTGGGTTCCAGGTGGGGGTAATGTGAAACCAGCAGCTTCCCTGCCAGGGAGGCTGATGTCCGGTACTCCCAACAAGGCAGGGACCTCAGGAAGGTCGGCTCTGACTGGCCACGGGCTGAGCCACTCCCTGGGATAGAGGATGGGTCTGAAAGCTGAGCTGGGAGGCCCAGAAAGGGAGGCTGCCCCAGTTGGTGTGAACAAGACCCCACATATGGGCTGTCTGAAGGCTCACACGCTGTCAGGACAGACTAGAAGGGCCCTGGCTATCTCCGTATCTGTGACATCAACGCCACACAAGAAAAGAAGCATTACTACAGACAACACCATTCTCAACACTAATTAGCCAACTGAATCCGTAACTTAGACAAAACAACTACACACCACAATTTAGTGGTTTTATCTCAGGAATTCAAGGTTGGTTTGACATTGGAAAATCAACAGATACAATACACCATACTAACAGAATAAAGAACAAAAATCACACAACTGTTTCACAGACACAGAAAAAAAAATCTGATAAAATCCAGTGATTTTTCATGATAAATACTCAACAAATTGATAAAGGGTATCTACAGACCCTAGAGCTATCATTTTACTTAATGTTGAAAGATGTGACATTTCCTTCCTAAAATGAGGAAAAACATACCTGCTCCTACCATGTCTATTTAACACTGTACTAGAGACTTTAGTCAGCGAAATCAGGCAAGAAAAATAAATAAAAAGCAATCAGTTTGGAAAAGAAGTAAAACCAACTCTCTCTTTTTCCTGCATTTACATGATTCTGTATGTAGAAAATTCCAAAGAGTACAAACATACCCAGCCCTGCTGGTCTAATTAATTATTTAAACAAGGTCACAAGACAAAAGATCAATATAATACTCGGTAGTATTTCAACATACTATCAGTGATCTACCTGGAAAGAAAAAAAATTCCTTTTACAATAGCATCAAAGAGAACATTTTGGAATAACTAACAAAAGAAGTGCAAGACTTATACACTGAACACTTATATAAAACATCGTTAAGAGAAACTGAAGATCTAATTGGAGATGCACTCCATATTCACAGACTAGAAGATGAATGTTGTTAAGATGGCAATTCTACCCAAACTAATTCTAAAATTTAAATAATGTAAAGGACGCACAAGAGCCAAAACAATTTTGAGGAAAATGGAACTAAGTAGGAAGACTTATACTTCCCTATTTCAAAATTAATTTTTATAAAGTCATATCAATCAGGGCAATGTGTGTGGTCTAAGGACAAAGACAGGTATGTGGAGCAGAATGGACGTCCACTGAGGTTCATCAAGGGTGCCAATGCAGTTTGCTGGGAAAAGGATCATGTTCTCAACCAGTGGTGTTGGCGCACCTGGACGCTGATGTTGAGTGACTCTCCCCTAGACTCGGTAGCCCTGCAGTGCCAGGAGCCAAGCTTGCCCCTTTGCCCTGAGACTGTCCTGCTGAGAAGGTGATGGTTTCCAGAAATCCTAGCATTTGCTTCCACCACACACCTCAAAATAGACCATAAACCTAAGTCAAAGATCTAAATGTATACAATTTATAAGAAAATTTAGGAAATATTCATTACCTCAAATTAGGCAGAGTTCTTAGATACCAAAAGCACAATCCATAATAAAAAAACTGATAAATTTGACTTCATCAAAGTTTATAACGTTTGTGCTTCAGAAGATACCCTTATGAAAATTAAAAGACAAGTCTCAGACTGGTCACAAATATTTGCAAATCATCTATCTGATAAAAGACTTGTGTCTAGAATCTATAAAGAACTTCTGTAACTCAGTAATAAAACAATAATAGTTTTTAAAGGAGCAAAGAATTTGAGTAGACATTCACCAAATACGATGTGTGGAGATGCTCAGTATCATGAGTCATTAGGGAATTCAAATCCAAACCACAATGACATGTGGCTTTATGCCCGCCAGCATGACTGTCCTCAGGAAGACAGACAATATCAAGGGTCAGCGAGCGTGTGGAGACGCTGGAGTCCTGCGCTAGACTGGGAACGTGAAATGGTGCAACTGCCGTGGAAAACAGCTTGGCCGTTTCTTAGAAAGTCAGACATGGGCGTTCCACGAGGTTCAACAATTCTACTGCTAGAAATCTACCCAAGAGAAATAAAAACATATGTCCACGCACAGATTGGCACATAAATGTTCACAGCAGTATTATTCATAAAAGTAAAAAAAAATGATCTAAATGCTCACGGGTTGGCGAACGACGAACAATAAGCAGCCATCCGCAGGAATCCTATGTGGCAGTGAAAAGGATGAACCGACGCTGAGAGAGAGAAGCTGGGCGCAGCAGATACCACGGTGACCCCCCTTCACACGGAAGCCCAGGGGGCGGGGCGGGGCGCTCACGGGGGGCCCTGCCGGGGTGACGGGCCTGTCCCAAAGCCGGGCCGCGTGACCGCTGCGCGGTCGCTCTGTAAACCCAGACTCAGTGAACCATGTACTTTGGGACGGCGAAAATTATGACCCCCGAGTCATACCTCGGGAGAGCCACGAAAAATAAGCACAGGAAAACACTCCTTCCTCTCAAATTCTGAACAAAATTGGCTGTGAGGCTCGAACAAGACATTCCTTCCTTCCCCCGGAGGCGCCCTCAAGCCCAGCAGACACCCCAAGGCCCTCGGCCCCACACCCACCGACACGGGGCCGGGGAAACGCCGCCTGGGCAGCTCTTCAGAAGGGCGGGCACCCCGGCCGGCTTCGTGGAGGGCGGGGGCGCGCCTGCCTTACCGCGGCCGCCCCACCGGAGCCTCCCCGGCCCGCGGCGGCTTCCTCTCCGTCTGTTCGGCCCTGGGTGCTCCGCCGCTGCCCTTTTCTTCGGAGTAGCCCGGAGGCCCCGCCCCTTACGGGCCCGCCCCGCCCCCGCCCCGCCAGGAGCCCCGGGCCGGGCCTCGCGGACGCTGCTTCCGGGGCGGGGCGTACCCGCCGAGTCGTAGCTGACGCTCCACGCGCCCTGCGGCGCCGGCCGGTCCGGACACGGGACGGCGAACGAGACCACGAACACCACGAGGAGGCAGGCGAACAGCGAGAGGAAAAACGCCGCGGTGCGGCAGCGGGAGAGGCGCGGCTGCGGGGCCGGGCTCCGCGGGCCGCCGCCCTTCCCCGCCCGGGCCCCCGGGCCGCCCCGCCACTTCCCGCCGTCGTTCTTCAGCGGGTGGATTTCGGCTTCGAGGTCCTCGCCGCCCATCGCCGCCGGCGCGTCCCGGAGGTCAGCTCCCGGTCACTGCGTCGGCGACAAGAGGCGGACGGGGAGCTCCAGGCCGGCCCCTCCCGGGACCCCGCGGCGGCCTCTCGGCCCAGGCGGCGCGCGCGAGCAAAAGCCCAGGGCGACGGCCTCCTGAAGAGGCCCGGCCGGGGGTGCAGAGGCCCGCGGGTGCAGAGGCCGGGCAGGCGGTATTTCCCTCCTCCGCGCACTGGGCCTCCCTGGGGGCTGCACGGCCGCACGTTGGCCGTTAACCAAGCCCCGGCGCCTCACCGTCCGGGACCTCCGACCGGCCTCCCTTCGGCCTGAGGTACAGACGGGGGACGGCCCGGGTGGGGGTCCGGAGAAGCCGACATCCCCACACAGGGGCTCCCCAGAGGGCCGCGGACCCTGGCGAGGGGGTGAGGTGCGCCCGGGGGGTGCCAGCCCTGGCCCGCGCTTACTGTGGGGGGGCTGCTTGATCTGGCCGTGCCCTGGTTTCCTTTCCTGTAAAAGGGAAACAATATCTACTTTAGAAGATTGTCTCAAGGATTAAATCGGTAAATGCATATAAAGTACATGGGACACAGTAAGCAAACGGTAATTAACGAGAAAATACAACGGTCAGTTTGGAGCAGGAGGAACGCGCGCCGCACGTGCCACGCCCGACCTCGAGCCCGGCCTGCCCCGCTCCCCGTCCCGCCGCGGGAGGAGCCTTGGGAGGCGAGACGGGAAACGGGCCGCGGGGCAGGGGCGTCCCTGGCAGCCGTCCCCGCCGGCCGGCCGCGGCCCTCACGCTCTGTTCACCGGGACAGACCTCCGTGTGTGGAAGGCGACACGCGTGTTCTTTTAGTCCTTTTTAAACAGCCGGATGAGTGTCCTACTTGACAGATCACACTGGGAACGGAGGGGTTCGTGTGGGTCTGAGGGACTTGTAACCATCAAAACAAAGGTCGGTCGGTGCTCGTGACTCAGCCCGGCAGACGCGGGCCGGCCAGGGGCCCGACGGAGGCGGCCTCTCCGGATGAGTCGGGAAGATGCAGTGACAGCAGACGGCTGGGTTTTGTATAAATACTGCACCTTCTGACTTAAACTGTTTTTCTCTAATTATTAAAAGAAGTTTTATTTAAAAACCTGTGTATACAGCCACCAAGGTGGCTTCAACTGAAAAATGACAAGTGTAGGTGAGGGTGTGGAAATCGGGACCCTGCGCACAGCTGGTGGGAAGGTAAACAGCACAGCCTCTGAGGGATGTTTGAAATATTTAAAGCCTGGGGAGGTCTGATGGCTCCTCTAGCAGTTAAACGCGGGTCGACCACGTGACCCAGAAATGCTTCTCGACAGCCAGAAGGTGGAAACCACCCAAGTGCCCACCGTCAGATGGACGGATTGACAAATACCCATCCAGACAACCGGATGTTACTCAGCCATGGAGGGAGTGAAGCCCTGACACGCTGCAAGCCGCAACCTGGATGAACCTCCGGAACGTGATGCGCAGTGAACTAGCCGGACCTGAGGCCACCCACCGTAACTGTTTATGTGAAACTGCAGGCAAGTCGCAGAGAAAGTGGGCCAGTGGGTGCAGGGCTGGTGGGCAGGCGCCTCAGGATCCCTTCCGGGATGATAAAAAGGTGGTGATGGTCACACATCATGAAAGCACTGAATGTCCCTAGTGGTGGACTTTGTGTGATGCATATGTTTTACCAAACAGATCTGTGCGCATTCTTATTGCCAAGCTATGCGTTTTTAACATCGTGGAAGGAGAAAAGGTGTGCCTGTCAGAGTCAGTGAGGTGGATACAGGATACCAAACGTATCTCCAGCCAGGCCTCATTCAGCCCAAGCACCTGCCTCGGGGGCAGGGAGGTGGGAAGGGGTTGTCGGTACTGTGGAACTAGGAAGGCCGCAACACAGCCTGGCTGGGGGGGGTGGGGGGGCTGCTTACTCAGCTATTCTAAGTGCTATGTCTTAGTGAGGGATATTTGAAATATTTAAAACACATAAATTATTTCAGCAAAGTTAAAAACTGAGCAAGATCAGAATGCCAAAATCTTGATTTTAAAAGTTCTACCTTTAAAGTTCTTTTACTGACAGCATTCCATGTCAGCATTGAGAAACAAACTGTCTAGCTACAGGGCATCTGCAGGAGACAAGCTCCCTACGACTGTCCACACCAGAAGCAGGGGCTCTGTTCCAAAGGACACTACTCCCAGCCAGCCGGGTCCCCAGACCCAGCTTGGAGCAGGAGCGCCTGGCAGGTGTCTATCACCAGCCTCTGGACACCAGCTCATAGCGAGTGGGTCTGGACAGAAACCTGCCTCCACAAGCCCAGACAGAGCTGCTGGTGAAATGCATCTGAGGCGGCCTGTGGCTGCGGCCGGCGAGCAGACACAAGTCCTCCCAAGCCATGACTCTTGGCCACGGCTCCACATTAGAAACACGTGGACTTTGCAATCCTGATGCTACACCCAGCCCATTAAATCGGCCTCTTGGAAGGGGGTCCCTGGCAGGAGGGCTGCTAATGCTCTCCAGGTGATGCTGAGCAGCAGCCATGCCCTCTTGTTCTGCTCAGCCCACTTCCACCATCACACTGGGTTCCTCCTGTCCTGGTCCCTGAAGTGGAGACCCGTCTCCCCACACCAGCCTGCCCGAGGCTGCTTTCTGGGTGTTCTTCCCTTTGGCATTCTGGGCAAGCTTAGTTAAGTGACCCAAACTCAGACCCTAGCCTGTAAATCAAACTGCCTCTCCTCCTGGCCAGCCTATGTGGGTCCCTAGAGCTAAGAATAAGGAACAGGGCAGAATAGTTATTAATGTAGGGTCTATTTATTTTATGGTTTATATTCATTTTCTTGAGTCAACAATAAATACACATGACACAACATGTGGAAGGTCTAAAGCATAAATTCCCCGCCCTTCGGGCTGGTTTTTCATGGCTCCCTCCAGAAGTTTGTTTTTTAAATGTGACTAGAAGAGCCAAGTGATAAATCTGACTCCAAAAATTAAAGTAAAAATAAGCTCAAACTAATCTCTAGTCTCTGCTGCATGGCAAAGTCAGACCAATTGTGCATCCTAGAGCAGGGACGGAGGGCCATGCCACTGCCCCAGGAACCTGCCTTCTGACTGGAGAGCCTGGCTGGGAGCGCATTTGCCCACACTGCCGCCCTCTGAAAGGATGGAGCGGCAGCAAGGGAACACGCTCCCAGCTTCCCAGTTGGGAAGCCAGGCAGTACGTATCTGGCATCTGCAGTCTGGCCGTGACCTCATGCACAGGGAGAAGACACATGACAGAGGGGAGGGGACGGGAACACAGGCTCCGCGAGGGAAGCCTCCATTCTCAGAGCCGAGTATCCCCGTCAGGCCACGGCAGCTGTGCGGAGGCTGCCACACCCCTGGGCCGGCCTGCGCCAGGGAGCACGTTGTGAGAACCATTGTTTTAACTGACAGACACTGTTTCTAAAACTGAACCAGCCACTAAGAATCTGGAAGTCATAAACTGATCTGAGTTCAAAAAATTTGTGAGGATAGTTTAAAATCATCAGTGAGATCCCGCCTAATACTAGCTTAGTATTTTTCTTGTAGTTTGACTTATTTTACTCCAGTGAGAGTATTAGTTGACATGGTTTCTTTCCTAAGTCAATAAATGAAGGCCTAAAAGAAAATGTGCTATGTAAAATGAAAACAGCAACATGTAAAATTCACTTTTACTTTTTTTTAAGTTGCTAGTATCTTTATTTAAACTTTTTTCCAAACACGGACTATTACTTAATTTTTATGTTCGCTACCTCTAGCTACGGTTTTAATTGTTTAAAAAAAAATTTTTTTTCTTTTGGTATCCTTAATCTACCATTACATGAGGAACATTCTGTTTACTAGGCTCCCCCCATCACCAAGTCCCCCCCACATACCCCTTCACAGTCACTGTCCATCAGCGTAGTAAGATGTTGTAGAATCACTACTTGTCTTCTCTGGGTTGCACAGCCCCACTTTTACTTTTATTACGTAAAAATAATTCAAGTGCTTACCTAATAAATCACTAGATAGGAGGTTATCTTTCAGCAAATACGTTAAAATCTTCGGGAGGAATAAAGACCTTGTCTGCAGAATGCTCTCCACTGTGCCCTCCTCATCCCGCTTCCCTTCTGCAGACACAGGCCTCACTGGTCTCACTGGCTTCTTGTTTCCCTGTGAATACAACTGTTTCAAGTCTGGGGCTGCCCAAGGAGTCAAGGGTCTGTATCTTGAGACCCTCAGAACCTGAACTTCCCTAAGGAGCATGGGCTCTTTGCATTGAAGTGTCCCAAGTCTTCCAGTCAAGTCTTGTGACCACCCACCCCGACAGGATTATGCTCTGTGGGGGCTTCACAAAGAACAGTTCCCATATTGCCCGTGGGATGCAAGACAATTTTGGAGGCACACAGGTGAACACTTATTTCAGTAGTTATGTATTTTTTTCAGTTGTCTTGCCATTTATGGTGAGTGATGTTTCCTTTCTTAACTATTTTGCAGAGACCATCCCGAGAGACCCCACCTTTCCCCCAGCTGTTCCAGTGGAGTTACAGAGCCAAAGCGGGAGCGACATCAGAGCATAATATTCTGGCTTGTGATGTCTGTATATCTGAAAGGCTGCATAGGAAGGAGGTGGCAGCAGGACCAGGGCCAACGGAGAGGGGCCAGAAAGAGCTACTTCAGTGGAGACTAGCAGAGCCGGCCTGGGAGGCGGCGGCCCCTCAGCTGGGGGCCTCCAGTGCTGGGAGACAGGACCAACTGCAGGAGCGTCCGGGGCATCCCCACCTTGATGTTTTAGGCTTACAGGCTGAACGCAAGAACTCTTGCCATCATCTCTTCAAGAGCAGTGACTGCTACTTGCTGTTTCTGTATAAATCACTGGTTTCCTTGAATTACTCTGAATAAATTCATGCATGGAATTCTAAGACTTATAATCTTGTAAAATTGAGATAGTTCATAGCAAACAGGTAAAAGACACTGTGGCTATTCTCTGAAGGTTCTTTGTGAGAAAACTGAGCAGGGACCACATAGCCACTCAAATAATATAACTTCAATTACCTACAAACAACTGTGTTAGATGGATGAAAACTTCACTATGTGACACTGTGGGGAAATGACCGCAAATTGTACCCAGCAGTTATTTCCCTCCAGAACCTTTCACCTAAGTCGGGCTTCCAGGGGCAAACCCCACACAGGCGGTGAGGCCCACCTGACCACATGGTGAGGACAGGTGGCCGTCAGGGAAGGGGTCTCGCCCTGGCTCAGTCCTGGCTGCAATACTACTTGTGATAAAGTTTCATATGGTGACACACATACACGTGAGGGCCCGTGGGAACTGGTGAAATTAGAGCGGGTTTGGGTCCTGGGATGTGGACACTGTGTGGGTGATGTGCGGGGTTACAGAGGGAAGCTGCCTGGAGGCCCAAGGGGCAGGTGTGCATGGTTTCTGTCCCATCTTGTGAGTCTGCAATTAGTTCAAAATTAAAAAAAATGAAAAAAGAAAAGAAAACATTAGCTAGGGGCAGTTCCGGGCCACAGGGGTTAAGAGGAAGGACTGGCTTCCCCACAGGCAGCTGGCGCCTCCCCGCGGCCTGACTGGGGAGCTCTTTTGTTCTAAAGGCAGAGCTTCCTATGCTTGTCTGTCTGGTTTGGGCAGGGTTTCATCAGTGGAGCTCCGCAGTGACTGTCAGCCAAGCACAGCCAGACCCGAAGTGCCACCCCCACCCCCTCCAAAACCTTCCCTGGCTTTCTGAAAACCACACATGCAGCCACTCAGCTTCCTGCCGTGGGGAAAAGGTACCGTCCTTTCCCGCAGCCTGGCTTGTTCTCGGTGATTCCCCAAACAGCACAAGGCCAGGGGCAGTGATAGTAAGGGCCACCTAAGCCAGATAACACGTTGACCACACGAGGGCTGGCTTCAGGAGGCCATGCGCGCGACAGGTGAGGGCTGTCCTTGGAAAACAGGAAGCTGGGGAGAAATTCCTTCACGGGGCCCCCAAGAAAGGCTCTTCCTGGAACTCTACTTGGCCCCAGAACATGAGGCCATCATGAAAGGCCTGTCAGTCCACAGGTGAGGCAGCCTGGCCAGCACTGCCTGAACCACATTTATGCCCATAATCACGGACGCAGGCCACTTGGCTGTTAGAAAACAAGCCAAGAAGCCAACACTCTCTCGAAACCATCCTGGCATGTGTGTAGGCTCCCAGGTGGCACTTCTTAACCTCACAGGCACTCTGGGGCCCCTCGGACCGTTCTCGCACAGCAGGACGAAACCGGCTCCAGCCGTGCTCCCGCAATTCCCCACACTGGCCGCTGCTCTTCAGCTCTTCTCCCTATATCCCCCCGAAGCGCACGCAGCGAAGTGCTTCCGGCCCTCCCGTCACCTGGCAGACAAACTGCAGAGAACGCAGTCGTCTGGGAGACTTGGAGGTAGGATACAAAATTATTTTCAGCTGGGGGCAGAGACGCTCCCAGACTACCCGGGCATGTATGCACTCTGGCCATTGGGAGCGGGGTCAGCAGGGGGTGTCTCCGTAGCTCTGGGAGGCAATGGTGGCTCAGATGGCACATCCATGCTGGGGCACTGAGGGCAATAAGCGGCCCACTTAAGGACAAACCTCTTCTGTCCCAGTTAAGAGTCTGGGGTATTGTAGGGCGCCTGGCACACAACCTAAGTAATACAAGTGGCTCAAAGTGCCAACCTGATCCCAACAGGCTCAGAAATAAAGTGCCCAAGCTTCCTCCTGTCCTGCCAATGGGTTTCAGCTCCGGGCAAGCTCGCTATGGATTCAGCGTGACCAAAGAGATGACAGTAGAACTGTTACTTTGGGGCGAAGGGGTTCATTACCCGGCTTGTTCTCCCAGTGGTCGGTGGAGCACTAGCGTCTCCGCCTCCGCCCAGAGCGCTGGGCCGGGCTCTCTATGCAGCGCAGTAATAGCTCGCTGCCTAAAGGCGTGGAAGCGGCAGCCCAGCAGCAGGCCAGCTACATCATCAGGCGGTCTAAGTTCAGTGGGGATCCTGGCCGTAGGAACCCCAACATCCCCACACCTCCCTAAACTGAATTTGTATGTCTGTGAACTCCAGGCTTTTTGCCTTTTTGTTTCAAATTCCAACTGCTCTTGTTAAGTTCCATGAATAGAGGGAGTTCAAGAAACTTGAAAGGTATTTTGCCTGTAATACCGCAAGCTTCGGCAAGCCACGTACCTGCTATCAAGGGTGTTCGTTACTTCCTCATTCGCTAGCAAAGGAAAGACCCAGTCATTGGGCCAATGGGCTTTAAATAAAAGACAGAGGCTTCTGAGAGCGCAACCGAGCACAAAAATGTCTATGCTAGAAAGTTCAGGGTGAGACATCTAGAGGAAGGGGCCCTAGGGGGACTGTTAGCATTTGTTAACTTCAAGGAACAGGCCTTAAAGGAAAACAAAATCCTTCTTTGTACATACGTGTGAAATTAAATGACCACTTCTCAGATACCAAAAAGGAATTAAGAACTTTTCATCTAAAATAAAAGCTATTAAGATACAGCAGATGAAGAAAAGAAAGACCACAAGGCCAGGAAACTTGCATCCTCACCCCATTCCTTCTGTCATGTCTAATAAGCAGGCGGAATTTCTATAAGCAGACTGGAATTTTCTATCAATTCTGATCTTCTGAAATGATAATTATAAGTCCACTGTTGGGCTTAATGTAATGGGAAAAACAAAAAAGAAAAAAGAAATGAAGGAAAATGAAGGGATGAGAAAGAAGATGTATAACTATAATATATATTATGTAAAAATTGTGACTCTAAGGATAATCTGAAGTAAATAAAGGCATAATCTGTGGATGGTTTTTTAAGCAGTCTATTCCACAGGCACTAAGGAGGCACCTGACACCACGGAGGGTGTGTCTGTTCAAGGCCACTGCAGGGCCACACCTATCTTCCCAGGACACAGGCCACTGTGTCCAGAGAGGAAGCTCTGAGCATGGGAAAGAGCAATAAAATCAACAACAGTTCATACCCCTCATTAAGAGTTCAAGGGGCAGAAATGCTATGGCAGACACAGGAGTAAAAAGGTGTCTCCTTTTTCTGCAAGGGCTCTTTCCCTGAGAACCATACTGAGTCAGAGAGAACAGATAATTAAGAAACGTCTTACTCCAACTGTTTTTTAATGGATAAAGAAAGCATAAAAACACATCCAGGGCTGAAGGAAAACCGACAGAATAAGTAATTCTACAGACATTGAGAGGAGTACTAAATTTTTTAATTAAAATTTCATAACTTCTTTTTTGAGAAAAGACTTCAGGGTACTTTAATAAGAAATCTAATTGCCCCAACTTTAAAATTTTAACTCTTAGGTAAATGGGCAATTTCCACCACTCAGAGAGGAAGATCTACTTTGTGCATTACTCAACCTCTCCAGGATGACAATTTCACAAAGCAGACATTACTTTAATCAAGGGTACTTGCAGATTTAAATAAAAAAGTAAAAAAAGAGGAAAAAGTGTACTTGCACATTAAAAAACAGAGAGAAACACATCAATTAAATAAGAGATGCTTGCAGGAAATAGATGAGTTTTTAAATGAGAAAACGCACAGGGAGTCCTCAGGCGAAAGCGTGCTTCCAGAGAACTTCACCTTGCAGTGTGAGTGGATTAAAAGAACAAGCGGATCACCCTGCCTGGGCCGCGCTACGCTCTCAGGTCACGCTGAAGCCTGGGTGGGAGGAGAGATTTCTTTCTTTCCACTGGGGAACTCTTGCCCCTAATTCACACTCAGATGGATTTCTCATTTGAACGACAGTTATTACATACACCAGAGCATCTGTCTGGCCAGGTATTCCCCGGGCGTTCTGTCTGTGGGCTGCCTTTGCCTGCTGGCTTGCACGGTGCCGCGAGGAGGAGGGCATGCTGGTTACCAACACTTCCTGTTGCTGCCCCCCCGCTTAGGAAGACCCCCTGTTAGTCCTCCAGCCCTCAGCTGGACCAGCACCAAACCTCAGGAGGTTCTGACCTGGCTCTTTTAAAGCCCCTGCCACACCCCTGAGAGCTATTTGGGGGCAGCAGGGCTCCGCTGCGTCCTCTGTGCCAACATGTGGCAGCCACTCAGGAAATGTCAGTTAAGTGGGACAGCACTTTACGGAGCCCGACCCAGGCAGGAAGATGAGGGAGGTAACGAAATCATTCCCTTCCCTCCAGAGCCTGCTTTTCACAGACTTCATGATTCTGTATTTGTTAGATGATCTTGTAGCAAGCGGTCAATGCTGGTCCCTAAAGCTGGCCGTTGTATATACAAACAGTTTAAGGCCTTGTCCTTTAGCTCCTCTTTTCAAGGGCCACTGCTTAGGTCGTTCTGTGTACCTTTTCTCCTGGGTTTCTGCAGCCCCTCAAATCTTTCCTTGATGCTGCAAGAGACATCTTCCTTCAATATCCCCCATTCATGTCATTCCCCTTCTCAAGGCTCTTCTGACACAAGTCTAGCACAAGGCTCAGACCCCTGGCTCTTGCCCCCTGGTGTCAGCCTTCCCCAGATCCCACCTGTGCTATCTGTTCTGTCAAACGCTGTTACTCAGTCCCTCATCCAGTGACTCCTCCAGGCCTTCAAATCCCACTCAACCTGACCTCTGCACCCCGTTCCCATAGACTGTGAGGAACTGAGGCATACACTTGTTTTTACTGCTTTGTTTTCTGAGGACAAGGCCTGGCATAAAAGACACACACACACGCACATGTCTGAATAAATGTCCAATTGCTGCGATGCTTTGCTCAGAAACTTTGGTTAGAAGAGTAATTGATTAGTTCATTCACTGTTTGCTTTGAAATCTCCAGCTTGTAGGAGCAGTTGACTTTTAAAATCTGGTGTGAAATAGAGGATATACTTCAGTGTAGGGGCCAACTGACCTGCCTGACACGCATTCCTTTTCTCTAGCAACAGAGCGTTGATTTTCCTGGGGAAAGGCACTTCCCACATGCTCAGTGTGGTGCTGGTGGAACCCATGCTGCACCATGTTGGGGAGGGCTCCTTACTGAGGCCCAGCTAACTCATCAGGTTTGCACTGATTAGGGCCCAAATTAGTATTAGGTCCAGAACTTAGCTGAAATCACAAGGATAGGCACTCTTCTCTCACAGGGGTGGTATGTGGAATGGTGGTTTTAAGATTCGTTCACACACTCTTTGACATGCCTCCCTTCAAAGGTCAAGTCTTTTGTACTTACTAAAGCTAACAAATAGAATATGGTGGAAGTATTAGAACTCCAAAACTAGGTCATAAAAGGCATTGCGACTTCCACCTTCCTCTCTCTGAGGGGAAGGCAACAAGCCTGTAAGGACAGAGGCCCCAGCACGCCCAGCAAGGGGCTAAGGCCAGCAGTCATCAGCCCTGGGAGGGGGCCGCGGTGGCATTCAGACCTGCGGTCTCAATCAGGCCTCTGCATGGCTCAGGCCCGGCCAGCATCACCATTGTGACCCTGCGAGAGTCCCTGAACCATAATCCCCCCTCACTAAGGCACTCCTGAATTCCCGACCCACAGAAACTGTGAGGTAATACAGGTTTGGTATTTCAGTCCTTAACCTTTGTGTTGATTGGTCCTGCAGCACAGATAACTATCCAAGTCAGCAGGATGGAGGCAGAAGCCTGAGAAACAAGCCAAAATCTATAGAAACACGGCGAAGAGAAGGTAGCCCCCCACACCATTACCAAATCTGATGACCTCATAAAGCCCTGGGACCCATCTACTTCTGGTCCCGGTGGAATCCCTCCACAGCTTGACCTAGTTTTAATGGATTCTTGACACTGTAAGCCAAAAGCAGTCCAACCAGCACAAGCACCCAAAGAACTGGAAGGACGCCCATATCAACGTCCCCTCAACACCTGGGCATTCCCATCCTTTCGTGCTTGCCCGCTCTGGGTGCTCTGCTGGCCGAGTTCCGCAGGGTGCTTTTGTCTCAGGGATTGTGTGTCCTCCCCCAGGACCCAGGCTCCCGCTAGAGCGGGACTCCCCGGGCTGCTGGTGCTAAACCTCAGCCCGCCGCGCCAACTGCTCCGGAGCGGGCGGGGAGCGGGGGTGGGGGGCCTCGGTGAGACATCTGCAAGTGCCCTTCACCTGCACTCACAGGCCTCCCAGACCCGCAGGCCGCGCACTCCGCCCTGGCGCCGATCAGTCTGCTCCCCGCCAGTTCCTGAGGGGCGGGGCTCCTGCACACAGTTCAATGAGAGCCCCCCAGGCAGCGAGCCCCCACCCCGGGGCAGCGAGCCCTCCGCCCGCCCGGGGCAGCGAGTCCCCAGCCTTCCCCCGAGGCAGCGAGCCTCCCCACCCCCGGGGCAGCGAGTCCCCAGCCTTCCCCCGAGGCAGTGAGCCTCCCCACCCCCAGGGCAGCTACCCCTCTCCCCGGGGCAGTGACCCTCTCCACTTTCCGGGTCAGCGACCCCCTCTTCCCCCAGGGCAGCGACCCCTCCCCTCGGGGCAGCGAGCCCCACCCCCGGGTCAGCGGGTCCCCGGAGCTGCGAGCTCCCTGGGCCCCCAGCCGTGAAGCATCAGGAGGGTCTCATCGGGGGTCGCGGCCCTTGCCCCGGGCGGACCCCGCGGGGGCCGCAGCGTGCGTGCTCGCGTTTGTCACCACGCTCAGGCAGGCGGCGCAGGTAGCAGAGCCGGGCCCCTTACCTGCCGGCAGCCGGCGGGTGCAGTCCAGAGCTGCCCCTGGGAGCCGATCGCCTCTCACGTACAGGCTGCGGGCACAGGTTCGGCGGCGGCCTCTCCACCCACCGCGGTCACCGACACGCCGGACGGTAACCCAGAGAGAGCGGCGCGCGGACGCGCGATGGGCCCCTCGGGGCGGGGTCTCAGGGGCTGACCGCCGAGGGACAGGAGCCGGGTCGGAGGGCAGAGGCGGGGCCTGCGGCGCGCACGCGCCGAGAGGAACAGACAGCGCGCACTCACCCGGCGCCGCGCCCTCGGGTCCGTGTGCGACGCCCGAAGCCCCGCCCCCAGCGTCACTTCCGGCGCAGAGGCAGGGGCGGAAGGGCGTTGGGGGGGCGGGAGGATGTGTTGCTTCGCGATGTGGTGGGGTGAGGGCCTGCTGCTCTTGGGGTCGAACTCGCTGCCTTCTCCGGCATGGGTTGGGGGCGGCTACGCGGGCGTCTTTCCTCCCCTCGCGAGTGCGCGCTGGGGTGGAAGGTCCAGACTTGCCGAACGGTCTGTCGTCCTCGCTGCTCCGCAGCGCTCGGCTTTGGATATTCAGCCTCTGTAAGCGATGCCCGTTGAAAATACCGCAGTCGGCGTCCTGTCCTTTAGTAATTCTGGGTGTCTTTTGAGCAACAGAAGTCCCTACTTAACCTAGAAAATGTGTCCGTTTTTCCCTTGATGTTTACTACTTTTTCTGCCCTTTTAAGAAAGTCCTTCCCTATCCCAATTACTCGCACGTTTCTCTAATGGTCTTAAAGTTTTGATTCTAACGTGTAAGTCCTTAATTCAGGTTGGAGTAGGTTTCGTGGGAGGTAAGGAGGTAATTTAATTTTCTTCTCCATTTGGATCACCGGTCCTAGCGCCACTTACTGAATTAGGCCATTTCCCCAGCAATGAGCAATGGCACCTGCCGTATTTTTTCAGAAATCTGTATATGCATGAGTTTCTGTTGTTTTTAATATTCAGCCTCAGTTTTTACCCTAATGCTTGCACGAGGTGTTCTGGATCACTGTCACTCCACAATAGTTAGAGCCCCTCACACTCCCCACAGGCCTGGCCTGGAGGTATGGACACACGCAGAACGGATAGAAATTTTTCCTATCTGACTGGAGGACATAACATGGGTGAGGGATGTGAAAAAATAACTCTTTATAAAGGGGAGGACGCAGCGGTCCTCTTCCTAAAACGGTCTCCTCCCCACTGCGTGCTGTGGTGTGTCCACGAGTCTCTCCAGCGGCTAGGCAGTCCCAGTGTCTCTTGCCTAGACTTTGAGGACTTAGAGGCGCCTCCAAGTTTCCGGCCTTATTCCTTGAAATGTAAATAGCTAGGAAGGCAACAGTCCCATCTGCCCAGTGCACAGGCCCCTGATCTTGGCTGTAGCCATTGCCCCTGGCTGAGAGAGAAGCTATTAAACTTTGGGATGGGAGCAATCAACTAGGTCATGGCAGCAGATCTAATTCTCATAGTATGTGCGGAGTCTGAGGAGACTAGGGCTTTTCACAGGAATATTGGGAAATGAAGGGAAATTTTATTTCCCAGAGCTTCTTTGGGGATCTGTTTTCTTCTCTCGTTCTGCCTATTCTTGTGAGGGTTCCATACAGTCTCAGTTACAATATCCTTGTAATAACTTGTGACACCTCGTTGGACAGGTACCTCTGCCTTATTCTTCTTTGGAAAAGCATCAGCCATTCATTCTTCAGTAAAATTTTACAATCAGGCTAAGTTTCTGCAAATCACTTGAGAGAAATGACACAGTTTTCATGCTCAAGAACACAGACTATCCATTCCGTTTAGGCCTTCTGTGATCTTACAATGAGTTTTTTATTTCCTGCATGCAAATCTTTTGAATCTTTTGTTAGATTTATTCCTAAATATTCTGTGATCTTTAGTGGTATTGAAAATGGTCTCCTTAAAAGTAAATTCTGTTTTCTGTTGTGGTGGTTGGCACATAGAAATAATGTATAGATTTCCAGATATTGTTTTTTACCAGCAACCATGCTAACCTCATTATTTTTAATACTTTGTTGGTAGGTTCTTTTGAATTTTCTAGGAATATAATCATATCATCTGAATAAAGATAATTTTGCCTCCTCCTCCCCAATTCTTGTGTCTTTATTTTTCTTGCTGTTATTAGCTAATTAAATAGAAGCAATAGTGGGCATCTTTGTCCTGTTCTTGATTTTAAAGGGAAAATTGTCAGTAGTTGCCCACTTGCTGTAGGATTTTTTTGTAAATGCTCTTAAGCAGTTTAGGAATGTTTACTTCTATTCCTAATTTCCTAAGTTTATATCATCAATGTGCATTAAATTTTATTAACTGCTTCTTCTGCATCTCTTCAGATGATTATGTGGTTTTTCTCCTTTAATCTTTTAATGTGGTAAATGCTTTTGACTTTCTAATGGCAAAAGATCCTTGCAATCCTGGATTAAACTAACTTGTTCATGTCCTGTTATCTTTTTGCACGTTGCTAGGTTTCATTTGCTGATATTGTTTGGGATGTTTTCCTCTATGTTTGTGAGATTGGATTATAATGTTATTTTATTATACTATCCTTGTTTGGTTTTGCTATCAAGGTTATATATACTGACCTCATAGAATGAATTGGGGGTATTTAATCTTTTTCTGTTTTTTGGAAAGGTTTGTGTAAGATTGGAATGATGTGTTTCTTTAAAAGTTTTGTAGAATTCACTGGTAAAACTGTGTGGGCCTGATACACTATTTGAGGAAGAATTTAAAAATAAGATTTATTATTAATGTTGATGCATAAAAAATTAGCTTAATTAGAGGCAGAGACAGAGGGAAGTTTAGATACTGAGGTGAAATTATGGGCAGGATTAAGGCCTTTAAAGAGTGATGACTTAAGTCTGGTTTTTACCCCAAGATGTATGACATTCCTAATTTTTGACTATTCTTACTAGCTGTTCTTAAAGTGAAGCAATTACAATCTTTTGACTGTTGAGAAAAATGAAAATTTAGAGAAGAACCAAGGTATAATTTTCCCTGGTTGAACACAGTATGGTTTTTCCCTTTGTATTTTTCACAGACACAGATTCTTTTAAACCTACTAGCGCTTGCTTTATGATCAACTTTTGAAAATGAACCAGGTGTTTCTGACCATAGGATGCAGTGCTAGATACATGTTCTATATCTATATATATAGAATATCTTTTGTATCTTTACAGATTTGGGGGCTGTCTAATTGAAACATTATAAAGCGGTATATTGGTATCCTCTCTTGTGGTGGTGTATTTGTTTCCTTTGTTGTTATGTCATCTTTTACTTTGCATATTTTGAGGCCATTTTACTAGGTGCACACGCTTTAGAATAGTTACATCCTCTGTGAACAAACCCTTTTTAAATACACTGGATTCTTTATATTTAATATTTTCCCCTTAAGCATTATACCATAATATATCAGCTGTCTTTATATTGGTGTTTGTCTACATATTTTTCCATACTTTTACTTCCAAACTTTATATATCTTTACAGTTCAAGTATATTGCTTATAAATAGCATAAAGCTGAATTTTCCTAAAATCCCATTGTCTTTTAATTGATAAATTTAATCCCTTTATAATATCATGATAATAATTTATTTGAATTTGTTTCCACTATATTCTTTTTTAAATAACCTTTTTATTTTGGGATATTTTTAGATTTACAGGAAATTTGCAAAGACAGTACAAGAGTTCCCATATACGTTTCACCAGTTTTCTCTAAGGTTAACATCTTACATAACTATGATACATTCATCAAAACTAAAAATATTAATATTGGTACATTACTGTTAACTAAGTTACTAAACTTTATTCAATTTCACCAGTTTTCTCACTATTGTCATTTTTCTGTTCAAGGATTCAATCCAAGGTGCATTTAGCCACCATATTATTTAACATTTTTTTTGTCCCATCTTTCTAATGCTTCTTGCATGCTTTAGATTGTCTAAATTTGTTTATGTTCTTATTCTATTTTTCCCCATTTGCCTGTTTGGGATTTACATAATCCACTTATATTTTTCAAACATTTAACTTTGAAATTTTTAAACAATACTTAGTGTACCTCTGGAACACTACAAAAACCATAAAACTAATCATTCACCCTTCTGACTAATATGCTATTGTTCTCCAATATTTTATTAGTCTTTAAGTCCACAAACTAATTTATTATCATTTTATATAGGTAATGTTTCCATTTTGCATGTTCACCATTTTTTTGCTTTTTACTGCCATTCCTTCTTACATCTCAGAGAGTGTCTTGACAGAATTTTCTTTCTGAATGACAACCTTAATGAATTCTTGTGCCTTAGCTTTGGTTCCCTGGGGATAATTTCACAGAGAAGCTTTAGTGCTGTAACTATTTTAGGGATGGGGGCAAAAGGAGCAAAGCGAGACGTGAGGGGGGCACATAAACAAGGGTGCATTGGTGAGCCGGCCATTATTTCACATCGGGCACCCTGGAGTGCTTGCTTTCCTAAGCTGGTCTTGTGAGAGGATATGGGATGTTACTGTGTCCCAGGACAGTCAGTGGGGGGCTGGGAGTGTGTATCAGAAGAAGAAATTTGTCCTCCACATTCCATCTCCAATTGGTCCAAATTTCACTCCACAGAACACAATTTCTCTGTGTTCCTGGGTTGCACATGTGAGTGAATGTCAGCCCTAGTGACAACAGGGAAGCCCCGGGCTGGGGCAAGAAGCACAATTTCCACTCCACAAAGCAGCCACTGGGAGCAACTGGGAAATGTCAGTACTGCTGCCAGCCCTTAATTCCAAAGCCTGTATGTTTTAGTTCTTGGGGACTGTGGCCAGTAGTCTTCAAATGCGGCTATGTAAAGTTCCTCCCATCTCTGTACACACATGTGCTCCTCACATCAAAAGGTAGCATCTGTTTCCCCTCCCCTTGAATCTGCATTGGCCTTTTGACTTGCTATGAATGATAGATAATGGTACAAGTAAAGTTCTAGAGCTTGAGCCTAGGCCTTAAAAGGACTGAAAGCTTCCGTTCCCTCCCTGGGGGCAGCCGGCTTGGCCTAGGCTTCTGAAAGACATGATCTCCTGTACAGAAAGAAATGCCGCAAGGAGCATCACTGGGCGGATGTATCAGTGGCGCCTTCTTAGATCGTCAGGCAGCCCAGTTTCACACAAGCAGTTTTGTGAGCCCAGCCAAAGCCACCTAGAGCAGTAGAGCCCAGGGCCTTAGCTACATCCTGGCTAAATGGCACAGAATCATGAGAAATAATAAATCATTTTGTTTTACAATATTGCGTTTTTAAGTGGCTTGCTACACAGAAATAAGTAATTGATACGAAACAGTGTTGCGCAGGATTGCGTGCTTCCAGCCTTTGGACGTGCTGGTGTGGAGGCTCGCTTCTCAGGATAAGCAGACACAAATCCAGGTTTGTTGACAGTTTCTAAGGATGAGCCACTGCCCCCTAGAGTAGAAAGGATCCAGTGTAATCCACCTACCTTCAGGTGGGCAGGCCGCCCCACGCAAAGGAGAGAGCCACCCGTCAGCCTCACAGGAGGCAGGGCTGGCAAGCCTCTGGGCGCAGAGGGATGCCGCGGAGCATTGATTAAAGAGTCCAACATTGGCTCCAGGCTTGGTTTGACTTTCACAGAAGCCAGGACAGGCACCAACCAGAATCCCCATTTCACAGGCGTAAGAGAACCGAGTCAGAGCAGCTACACGTGCTCACGGCTGGTTTCATGGCTAGCCAGAAAACAATCGGGATTTACTTTGCTTTGGATGGTCTGTATTTATTTATTTTATTGCATTTCCACCTCAGTAGAGCACCCAGGTCTTGCGAGGCCGACTAAAATCAGAACCGGCGCTGTGCCCCGCCCTCAGCAGCGCGCACGCGCATTGCAGCCTCGCCCTCTGCCGGAAACTACTCCTTCCGGCAGGCCTAGCACCGGCGCGACGCACTTCCTCCCGGCGTCCCCCGCGACGGGAAGGAGCCAAGTGAGCTCGAAGCTGACGCGACCAACCTTCGTCGCCGCCGTCCTCGCCGCCGAGCCGAGAGGAGCCGTCGCGGCCGACCCTGCCGCCCCCGCCGGTCACCATGTCCGCCCAGGCGCAGATGCGGGCCCTGCTGGACCAGCTCATGGGCACGGCCCGGGATGGTGAGTCGGGGCGATTGGACAGGCGAGGGGCCGGGTGGGAGCGAGGCCGCCGGGCGGCCTGAGGCGGGGGCTGTGATGGTCTGCGCCTGCGCCAGGCGCCCGCCCCTCCCCCCGCGCGCGGACCGCCGGCGCCGGGCCTTTGTTTGAGCCGGTTTGCTCGGGAGGCGGCTGCGGCCGGGCGCTCCAGCGCCGGCACTGCATCCCCCTGGGCTCCTCCTTCGGAACCCGTACTGCAGGCGGAGGCTGTGGCCCTTTCCCCTTTTCACGTCCTGCGGCTTCCTCCCCGGCCGGCGCCGCGGCTCCTTTGCGAACCCGGGTGTTCGCGAAGGGCTTGCTGGAGCCAGCATCCTCCGAGGCTCCTTGGGGAAGAAGCTACACTCGAGGGAGCCGGATGGGCCTCGAAACCCCGGCCGTGCTTGTTCTGTACCTTTGCAAGGGGAGCCGTAAATTGAGCTTTTCTAACGAGGGTTCCTGCCGAGTGCTTTTCCAGCCCCCTTTCCCTCCAACCACACAGGAGAGCCTCTGTTTAGCCAGAGCTTGGCAGTCGTTAGGCAGGTCGTACTGTAGGGAGGAGTCCTAGAGGATGGTGGTTGTCTCAAGAGAAAGCGGTCGCATCTTTGCTAAACTATATTCCTGCTGTGGTTTGTGTTTTCTTTTCTCCCGAAGTAACGAGGTTGTAAGTTCACACTGGCACATTTGCAGGGCTGTGCAGATTCTTTGCACTTTATTTCATAGGTGAATAAGTGCTTTTTAGCTTTCTTTGTATATTGAGTTGCTTTTGAATTGCTTCCCATATTTTTATTTCATACAAACTGAACAATTGTGGCCCCTCTATTTTATTTATAAAGGTTCAGTGTATCTTTGCCTGCCTACATCAATCTGCAAGGGAGTTGCAGAAAAGCCTCATGTTCATCGAGCCGTGAGTCACAACCAATTTCTAAGCTGTTATAACAAAAAAGTGTTTGCTTTTTTTCACAAGTAACTTTAAAAGTGTAGTTTAGAAAGAAAACATTTTCAGTAGACACAACATTAATCCTGGATGCTTGCAAATCCTAAAATATATTCCTCCTCTAGTATTACACAGCTCTGTGTCATATACACAGATTAGCTTTAAAATTTGTCACATTACACTTTGCCTTTACTTTTATGTATCATTCCCCTGACTTCCTTACTGCAGGTTGGGCAAGAAAACTTTTCCTTTAAAACTTTTCAACAGCGGGCATAAAATTCTGCAGCTGAGGTCTTGAAGAATGCAGATGGGTACAGTATGTGTTGGAACTCACAGTGTGTATTGACCAACCCAGTTCCTTTCTGCCTCTTTTTGGTATTGTCTTTTTGGTATTGTTAAAAGTGACTCCCAGGTGCCAACTCTGTCTAAGGGTGGGGGTGAAAGGAGCATAGGAAGATTAGGCCTAGATTATTTATCAGCGGCACAGTTAGAAAGCTTTCTTCTTCATGAGATTTTGGGCAAAACACTGCCTATGCATTTGTCCACAGCAAAATGATTAGATTAATAAGTAGCTTCTGTTGGAGGAAACTACTACAATACGTGGTGATTTGTGGCCCTTTGATTAGCATGGGTTTTGTTATCCCATTGCCCACATGTATGTGTGGGGGCTAATGGCCTTTTGGTGCTCAGCCTATTACTTCTGACTCCTTGATTTCTTTGGCACAATCAGTGGTGTCAGATCTCATTAAGTGTGACTCTTCATGGTATATTAAGCATCATAAAACATCTATGTGCCACTCTAGTTGTAAATTTTTCTAGACCAGGTTTTCAGTGTTATTTGGTAGTCTGCGAATCATCCAGTGAATTGTACCAGACAGGCTTTTGTGCTTGATGTGATAATATTGTCTTATTTAAAACCACAAATGAATTTCAGGAGATGAAACCAGACAGAGGGTCAAGTTTACAGATGACCGTGTCTGCAAGAGTCATCTTCTGGATTGCTGTCCGCATGACATCCTGGCTGGGACGGTAGGTGCATTTGGGGGGGAAGTCACGGAACTGCCTGTCAAATTACAGATTCTATTAGTTTGGTGGAATTGTATATTATGGGACATATTTCACCACAGTGAAACTCTCTGTAAAGTTACCAGCTTTTTGCAGTCATTTATGTTGAGTTATTCACAACTACGTAATGCAAGTAGTCTTATTTATAGCAAAAAGTATGTTTCAGGTCAGCCTTTAGTTGTTTGAAGATTGTTTTCAAGTTGAACATACACTAGATTTTTGATCTAACAAGGTACATTTCTTCCCCAAGTTTTTGTTTTTTTTTAAAAATCAGTAATAACACTGATTTTTGTAGTTTGTGTTTATGCCACCCTTTTGGGAAATCAGTACATGATCCAGTGAACACAGACTCCTAACATTTTAAGTTCACATCAGATGAACCAAAAAATAATAAGTGCTTGTTTTGCATAATAGGAATTTATACAAAATCAGATACAATTCAAGAAGACTAAAGAGTGGAGGATTACGTATACGATTCAGCCACTTAGAGGAAATAGGTGCTGTAAAGACCACCACCGTTTCACAGCTACCTTGTGGAATATAAAAGCTGTCCACTCATTGTAAGGGTCAAATGTGCATGCATTAGGGAGTGTTTTATTCACTATTAATTGTGCCTTTATTATTATGGTGGGGGAGAAGCCTTTGGAAAACCACTCAGATGTATTAATCTTATTGAGCTGGCTCTTCTGACAGCAAATAGGAAATAAATGCCTAACCTTGTGCTTCTGTCCCCTGAGGCTTTGCCTGCGGGTTAATCTGCATGGGAAAATGCTGCAACTACTCTTTGCAGTACTTGATTTGGGTGCAGTCAGTGTGTACTCATGGCTGCCCCCAGGCATAAGCAGCTCAGCCGAAAAAGTGGAGTTGTTGATAGATCTTACTGGAAGAAGCCAGAGGGGATGGAGCGAAAAGCACTGGGGCGAGGTAGAAGTATTTTAGCTGTATCTTTCTGGTCAGATCCCTGGTAGCATTGTTCTAGAATGCTGGTGAGAAAAATAATGAGAATGAAGGCATTTCCTACAAATGTTTGATGTGTTGAGTATAGAATAATTTGGTAAATATTTACTGGATGCCTACTCTGCTCCAGGCACTGGGGGTATGGTGCCAATAAGACAGAAGTATTCTCATCCAAGGGAAGAAGGGGACTGACAGTAAATAATAAATGAGTAGGCAGTGGACTGTTTCGGATAGGGTGAGAACACACGCATGGTTTGGGGTGTAACACTCAGGGTGGAGGATGGAGCTGAAGGACAACGGGAATGCCGCTGGTAACGTGGGCTGGCGGGAGTGAGGCTGTAGAGTTTCATGAGAGACGAGGAGCCCTGGACGGAGCAGGGTCGCTTCATGTGGACCTGGGCAGGGGCAGCTGGGTGAAGGTGCACGTGGACCACTGTCCGTGCCTGCCAGGGTCGTTGGGGTGAGACTTGGTAGTTAGGGTGGAGCTGGTTGTGGAGGTGGAGCCTTGTGCCACAGGAAGCGGAGGTGAGAGCTAGAGGTAACAGTTTGTGTTTTGTGTTAAATTGATTGACAGGGAATAAATATAATCCTTAGACTAGAGCAACAAGATGAAAGTGCTTCTAACCCTCAGCCTGCTGAGGACTGCACCAGACTTGTTTTTGCTCAGTTGATCTTCTGTCATCGTAGGGGTAAGATAGGAATAGAAGTAAGTTTTTTATTGTGACTTTGTGGGAAAATGTCATGTTGATTAGTAAGTTTGGAAGAGTAAGAACGCCAAAGGGTAGGTGTTACTCTTGTCTAGAGAAAGAACTTTGTTTTCCGAAGGTTCTCAAAGAGTCTTTAGTGTCCTTCCCTGTCAGCAGTGTGAGACCATTAGAGGGCAGAGAAGGCAGGGCTTTGTGCGTTGTGAAAGGTCTGACACACTGGATTTGACAGCCAATTGAAGTATTTTGGAAGGACTTAATGAATGTGGTATTTTAGCTCTGCTTGTTGCATAGCTGCCAGGAGAATGGGCTGGTATTTCCCTGTCTCCTTGGAAAAGCTGGAAAGATACATCCGGAGAGTAATTGTGGAAGCCAGGATTCCGCAGAAGCCCCCTCAGAGCTCTCCTCAGCCAAAGGAAGACAGCTTTGCATGTGGTTCCCCAGTGTCAAAACTTTTTTGGAGTGTTTGGAATCGTAGTAGATTTACATTTCAGAATGATACTACTTAAGGTTTTTGTGCTTACTTCCTCTGGTAGCGTTTTTTTGTTTTTTGTTAACGGAGCAACAGAACCTCCACTAGCGTTTAAGCATTTCTGATAGATACCATTCCTTTTAGTTATAGCGCTCAGTTTCATTTGTGGAAACCCTTTCTTTTCTTTTCTTTTCTTTTATATTTAATTTTTTATTAAGGTATTATTGATATATACTCTTAGGAAGATTTCACATGAAAAAACAATGTTACTGCATTTACGCATATTACCAAGTCCCCACCCGTACCCCAATGCAGTCACTGTCCATAAGATGCCACAGATTCACTATTTGAAAGATCAAAATTAAGGATATGTAAAACATGCATTAATCGTTGATTTGCAGTTAATTTTATCCTATCAGGGAGTAGTCCCCCCCTTTTTTATCATTAATCTACAATTACATGAAGAACATTATGTTTACTAGGCTCTCCCCCCTACACCAAGTCCAGATTCACTGTTTGCCGTCTCTGTGCTACACTGTTCTCCCCGCGACCCCCCACACCATGTGTACTAAACATAATACCCCTCAATCCCCTTCTCCCTCCCTCCCCACACCTCCCCTTTGGTGCCCACTAATTCTTTCTTGGAGTCTCTGAGTCTGCTGCTATTTTTGTTCCTTCAGTTTTGCTTTGTTCTTATACTCTACAAATGAGGGAAATCATTTGGCACTTCTCTTTCTCCACCTGGCCTGAGCATAATATCCTCCAGCTCCATGTTGCAAATGGCAGGATTTGTTTCTTTCTTATGGCTGAATAGTATTGCCTTGTGTATATGTACCACATCTTTATCCATTCAATCTACTGATGGACACTTAGGTTGCTTCCATATGTTGGCTATTCTAAAAAGTGCTGCGATAAACGGTGCATATGTCTTTTTGAATCTGAGAAGTTGTATTCTTTGGGTCAATTCCAAGGAGTGGGATTCCCGGGTCAAATGGTATTTCAATTTAATTTTTTTGAGGAACCTCCATACTGCTTCCCACAATGGTTGAACTAGCTTGCATTCCCACCAGCAGTGTAGGAGGGCTCCCCTTTCTCTGCATCCTCGCCAGCATTTGTTGTTTTTTCAATGCTGGCCATCCTTACTGGTGTGAGGTGGTATCTCATTGTGGTTTTAATTTGCATTTCCCTGATGATTAGTGATGTGGAGCATCTTTTCATGTGCCTGTTGGCCATCTGAATTTCTTCTTTGGAGAACTGTCTCTTCATATCCTTTGCCCATTTTTTAATCGGATTATTTGCTTTTTGGGTGTTGAGGCGTGTAAGTTCTTTATCTATTTTGGATGTTAACCCCTTGTTGGATATGTTATTTACAAATATATTCTCCCTACTGTAGGACGCCTTTTTGTTCTGTTGATGGTGTCCTTTGCCGTACAGAAACTTTTAGTTTGATGTAGTCCCATGTGTTCATTTTTGCTTTGGTTTCCCTTGCTCAAGGAGATGCATCAGGAAGAAGTTGCTCCTGCTTATATTCAGGAGATGTTTGCCTATGTTGTCTTCTAAGAGTTTTATGGTTTCATGACTTACATTCAGGTCTTTGATCCATTTCGAGATTACTTTTGTGTACGGGGTTAGACAGTGATCCAGTTTCATTCTCTTACATGTAGCTGTCCAGTTTTGCCAGCACCATCTGTTGAAGAGGCTGTCATTTCTCCATTGTATGTCCATGGCTCCTTTATCGTATTTTAATTGACCATATATGGTTGGGTTTATATCAGGGCTCTCTAGTCTGTTCCAAATTGTCTTGATTACTGTGGCTTTGTAGTAGAGCTTGAAGTTGGGGAGCATAATCCCCTCAGCTTTATTCTTAGTTCTCAGGATTTCTTTGGCTATTTGGGGTCTTTTGTGGTTCCATATGAATTTTAGAACGATTTTCTCTAGTTCGCTGAAGAATGCTGTTGGTATTTTGATAGGAATTGCATTGAATCTGTAGATTGCTGTAGAATCTGTAGACAGATGTGTTTCCATTTATTGGTATCTTCTTTAATTTCTCTCATTAGTGTCTTGTAGTTTTCAGAGTATAGGTCTTTCACTTCCTTGGTTAGGTTTATTCCTAGGTACTTTATTCTTTTGATGCAACTGTGAATAGAATTGTTTTCCTGATTTCTCTCCCTTCTAGTTCATTGTTAGTGTATAGGAATGCCATAGATTTCTGCATATTAATTGTGTATCCTGCAACTTTGCTGAATTCAGATATTAGATCTTGTAGTTTTGGAGTGGATT